AAAGGAAAGGAAAAAGGAAAGGAAAAATGAAAACTCTTGGTGTTAAACCACAAATTCTGAGTCTGTCTTTCCCAAACTTATTTCCCAAGCATTATTGACATTTTAAGCCAGATAATTCTGTGAAAAGATGCCATTCATGGCCAACTGTTTACCAGTACTCCTAGCCTGTATCCACTTGATATAGTAGCAACACCCACATAACAGTATGCCAATCAAAAGTGTCTCTGGACATTGACAGTTATCTTCTACATAGGGGTAAAACAACATTGTCCTGACCACGAACCACTGTTCCAAACTGAATACAGAGCCCCAAGAATGACTCAATTACAGCAACTTGCCGGTCATGCTCAGGGCCTTGGACTTGACCCACAGCACCACCAAAAAATAAATAAATATAAAAGTGTTAGACTTAATCCATAGTAAGCAAATATTCTGGGGTTTTTTTCCTAGCAAAAAAATGGGTATTTAAATTTTTATCTATAAATTTGCTTAGATTGGCAGTTTTATTCCGACCTCTGTGGCTTCTTATTCTGGTAAGAATTTTGCAACTGGCTCATCAAAAAAGACACCTTGAAAAGCTGACTAGGCGGCTGGTGAGTGGCAGCATACATCTGTCTCGTGTTTCAGGTTGTAGATCTGTATGTTATGTTCTTTCTCCTACTGACTTATGTTTCCCAACTTCATGACTTTCCAAATCAGGTGTCAGGAAACAAGAGACGATACAAGAAAGATGGGTTTGACCTGGACCTCACTTATGTTACTGGTTCGTGAAACTTACCTGTTGATATTGTTTATAAAATTTTTTGCATTCTGTATGTGAGTGGTAGATGCTCCATGCTCTTTTATTTCTGCCATGTTATTTCAAAGCATTCTTAAATAGGAGTATGCATGTCATTGTGGTGGTATGACCTTTGCAATGGATGTATCTACTTACGTCACTTCAAACCAGAACAACTTGGTGGTAGTACAGGAGGTGAGGTGGGTTATTTTTAGTTGGAGTTTCATTTATTCACCTCTGGTGGTTAACCTTGGTCCCAAGGATCCCAGGAGACTTTTCAGTCATGTTACAAACCTAGAAATTGAAGTCTCTATTCTTGTTGGTCTCAGATGTCCTGAGTCACATGGACTGGACAGCACTCTGGCAGTTCCTGCGTATACTGGAGTTCAGGCTGTTTTCTTTGGTTTGTTAAAGAAAATAATTTTTTTACCCACACTGAGAGAGTTTCAGGTTTAAGCCAATAAAAATCTGTGGCCCATGGATGAACCAATTGAGTCTTAGGATCACTGTGCCAGTTTCATGGTTATTATTATATTGGATGATTTAATGTATCATATCATTTTGATTATTCTGAGAATGTGTTATTATTTTCCATCCGGAATATTATTTTTATTTTAAAAGGGAGTTTTGTTATATGTAGATTAGACTTTTGTATGTTGTGCCATCTCTATTATGATATTCATCATAGCCATGACTTTGACTTCCAGAACGTATTATTGCCATGTCATTTCCATCGTCTGGAAGGCAGTCTTTCTATAGAAATCCAATTAAGGTAAGGCTGTTCCCATAGCAAGTGCTCAGTGCTCAATACTAACAATGTCAATATACTTCTAAATGCTGTTCTTTCAGTGAAAACTCTTGATTGATTGTCATCAATTTGCTATTTATAAACTACTATAAAATTTTTCTGGCTTATAAGCACTATTTTTTTATATTTTTTGTTGTGAGTCTACCCTTTAACAGCTGAGCCATCTCTCCAGCCCTAACCACTATTTTTAAAACTTGTGATACTGTGGCTAATTGGCTTGTATTGGGCTTAGCTTGGTGGTTCTAGTGAACCAAGTCAGGACTGGCTGTCTCAGCTGGAAGTTCACGAGCATGTGAACAACTACCGAGTCATCTGAGCATTTTCCAATCCTCAATAGCTTGCTTGGTGGCTCTATATGATATCTGTTTTTAAAATAAGACTTCTGTTCAGCTCAGGCAGGTCAAAGTTCAGCCTTTTTCACATAATGGCAATGACAAAGATTACAAAAACAGCATCCAAATGAGACTGCCAAGCCCCTTAGGACATGTGCTCAAGCCTAGAGTGATGTAGTTGCCTCTGACATTCTATTGAAACAAATAAATTACAAAGCCAGGCTTGATGAAAGGAAGGGCAATATGTTCTATTGCTTTTATTTTTAAAAAACTTTTTTAAATTATGTATAGTGTTCTGCCTGCATGCATGCTGGCACAACATAAGAGGGCACTAGATCTCATTATAGATGGTCGTGAGCCACCATGTGGTTGCTGGGAATTGAACTCAGGACTTCTGGAAGAGCAGTCAGTGCTCTTAACCTCTGAGCCATCTTTCCAACCCTCAACAAATACTTTGTTTGTTTGATTTGATTTTTAGAGACAGGGTTTCTCTGTAGCTTTTGGAGCCTGTCCATGAACTCACTCTGTAGACCAGGCCTCAAACTTCAAGAGATCCTCCTGTCTCTGCCTCCCGAGTACTGGGATTAAAGGTATGCACAACCACCACCAGCACCCACCCCTGTTCTATCTTTTGATAGTTTTGCTGGATATAGAAGTCTAGGCTGGCATATATGGTCTCTTAGAGTTTGCAGAACATCCAGGCCCTTCTGGCTTTTTGAGTCTCCATTGAAAAGTTAGGTGTTGTTCTAACGGGTCTGCCTTCATATTTTACTTGATCTTTTTCTCTTGCAGCTTTTAATATTCTTTCTTTGATCTGTACATCTGGTGTTTTGATTATTATGTGTAACAGAAATCCTAATAGGTCTTAATAGTAAAAGCCTGGAATCAGATATAGGGGAAAATCCTGAGAAATCAGAGAGATGAAGGAGCAAAACCACAGCCACCTTTACCTACTCAACTTTCCAGCCAAAAAGAGACTGAGTTCTTGTCTTCTCCTGCCTTATCACTTCCTCTCTCCACCCAGCCATATCACTTCCTGTCTGTCTGTTCAGACCTCCAGACATCTATGGTAAGCTAGTGGCTAGCTCTGCCCTCTGATCTTCAGGCAAGCTTTATTTGCTAGAGTATAAATAAGATCTCACCATAATTATATATCATGAAGGATTTCTTCCCTGGTCACATTGTATTCACTCTCAGGAAGGAGAGAGTGAACAAATGACACTAAGAAATAAAGCCTCAACACTTTCTCCCAGTAGTCTACTTCCTCCAGACTGACTCAACCTCCTAAAGGCTCCATAACTTTCCCTAACTGCACCACTAGCTGGGGACCAAGTGTTTAAACATATGAACTTATAGGAGCATTCAATTCAAATTATGACAGAGGCTAGTATGACCTTCTTTATTAGCATGTTACATATGATGTGATATCTACATACCTTCAAATTCAGGGAATTTTCACTAGAAGATGCCAATGAGAACTAGATGAAGCAATAGTAGCCATTTTTGGTTACTCCTGGTCTCTCTACTCTTACTTCTGGATGACACTGGATATGTAACATTTGTGTCTGTCTTTGTTTAGGAGGTTGTGCGGTTCCTTGACACGAAGCATCCAAACCACTATCAAGTCTACAATCTATGCAGTATGTACACAACTAACTTTTGTGTTACTGTGGGTAGAGAACAGATTGGTTTTGCTGGCTCCTCTCTCACACTTCAGTAAAACTTCCCATCTTGTATTGGCCTCGTGTGATAGGAAAGTTAGCTCAGCCAGCACAAAGTACCCTGGGCAGGAGGCATAGGTGGGCCTGGAAGGACAGAACAGGCAGAGCAGAAGTGAACCATGTTAGGAAATGTCTGTTCTAGGGTCAGGAAATCTTTATTTCCTTCTAGGTTACACTGAAGGTGTAAACATTAGCAAGTCTACTCTCTAACCCACCTGGAGTAGGTTGTGATAAGGAGAGAGTGCTGGATTAAAATAAAAATAAAAATAAAAATGCACCCTTTGATAATATTATATCTCACTTTACCACCCTGTCTCTAGTGGTTTGTTCAATGCTTGCTTGTCAGCTGAACATTTTTTTAGGAGCTGGCATCTCTGTCAGCTACATTTGTCTCTGCTCTGTGCTTCCTAACATCAATGATGATGCGCCAAAGAAGTAACTAGAAAGCTAAAGGTGACACTTCCTTTAAAAATGAGCCTAGTTTGCCTGAGGTGAAAACCCAAACTTTCTTTGTAACTCTGAAAGATGGTTTTTAGAGCAAACAGAAAACTACTCTTGAAGACAGATTTTCCTTTCTTTTTAATTTTTTTTTTATTTTAATTAGAAAGAAGATTATTTTATATGTCAATCCCAGGTCCCTCTCCCTCACCTACCCCCCACAATTAACACCCCACCTATCCCATACCCTTCTGCTCCCCAGGGAGGGTGAGGCCTTCCGTAGGGGGTCTTCAAAGTCTGTCATATCCTTTGAGATAGGGCCTAGGCCTTCCCCCTTGTGTCTAGGCTCAGGGAGTATCCCTCCATGTGGAATGGGCTCTCAAAGTTCATTCCTACGATAGGGATAAGTACTGATCCACTACAAGGGGCCCTATAGATTTCTGAGGTCTCCCCACTGACACCCACATTCAGGGGGTCTGGATTCAGTCCCATGCTGGTTTCCCATCTATAAGTCTGGGGACCAGGCACTCTCCCTTGTTCAGGTCAACTGTTTCTGTGGGTTTCACCAGCCTGGTGTGGACCCCTTCGCTCATCAGTCCTCCTCTGCAACTGGACTTCAGTTCAGTTCAAGGTTTAGCTGTGGGTGTCTGCTTCTATTTCCACCAGCTGCTGGATGAGGGCTATAGGATGGCATATAAGTCAGTCATCATTATCAGGGGAGGGCATTTAAGGTAGCCTCTCCACTGTGGCTTAGATTGTTAGTTGGTGTCATCTTTGTAGCTCTCCAGACCTTTCCCTAGTGCCTGATTTCTCTTTAAACCTATAATGTCTCCCTCTAATATGGTATCTCTTATCTTGCTCTCTCTGTTCTTCCCCCAACTCAACCTTCCTGCTCCATCATGTCCTCCTCACCCCTCCTCTTCTCCCCTTCTCATTCTCCTAGTTCCCTCTCCCCTCCCCCCATGCTCCCAATCAGCTCAGGAGATCTTGACCCTTTCCCCTTCTCCAGGGGACCATGTATGTCTCTCTTAGGGTCCTCCTTGTTTACTAGCTTCTCTGGCAGTGTGGATTGTAGTCTGGTGATCCTTTACTCTATTGAAGACAGATTTTCTAAATGAAACTTTAAATCTGTTCATAGCTATCATTTGCTATGTTACTAGGCATAGATATATGACATATTATTATTTATTTTAGGTGAGAATTCTTATGACCCGAAGTACTTTCACTACAGGGTCCGCAGGATCATGATTGATGATCATAATGTTCCCACCCTTGAGTAAGTCTGACTCCACATTGACAGTCAAAAAAGGGTTAAGTACCATGGGCTCAATGTTTAAGAAAATTATTATTTTGGAAAAAAAATTAATTGAATTAAAAATCTTATTTTTGAATCAGGGAAATGTTGTTGTTCTCCAAGGAAGTAAATGACTGGATGGCTCAACATCCTGAAAATGTTGTGGCGATTCACTGTAAGGGAGGAAAAGGTAACACTGCTTTTCTTTTCATTTCTTTTTTTGAAAAGAAATATGTGTAGGAACTAATGCTATTAGTCATACTCAGCACTAACACTTTAAAATAATCGGCTTCAAGACAGAAGGAATGTAAGAAGGATGAGAGTGAAGGGAAGGAGAAAAAAAGAGTTAAGGAAGGTTGGGAATATTTTCCCTTGCTTACTAAATATTTGGATTATTTTATTCTTGACTTGACAATCAATGTAAATCTGTGAAATACCAATGATCTTTTATCTTTAGAAGAGAATAACACTTTATTTTAAGGCTATTTTTCTTTTAATTGACAAATTATATTTTTATGATATGCATTATATTTTGTAGTTGTATCAATTGTGGAGCAGCTGAATGTAACTAATTGATATATGCATCACTTTATCATACTTAGCTTATGTGGTTAACCCACTTTTCCCAGATGACCAGTGATATTGGACATTTTTATGTTTTGTTTCTGTTTGTTTGTTTTTCCTTGAGGCAGAGTTTGGATAATGTTAGCCCAGCTGGTCCTTGAACTACCAATGTATTCCGGGCAGGCCTCCACCTCATGATCCTCCTGTCTCCTTCCAAATACTGAGATCACAGGCATGACTACTAAACCTGCCACTGGTTTACTTTTAGAAAAGAAGTACTCTTCATATTGAAAATATATACACTGGATTCTCATAGTGGTTTCCCTTTTCCTATCTCCTCCCAGATCCTCCCCACCTCTCCACCATCCAACTCTACACCTTCTTTCTATCTTTAAAAAACATGGGCCAATTTTTAAAAGTCACAAAAAATGAAAAAGAACAAGAAACACACACTCAAACAAAGCCTGCACAAAACTGGGAACTATGGTATACAAAGCCCAGTAAGATAAAAAATGCCCAAACACGAGTTATGCCTTTAAGCCCAGCTCTCGGGAAGCAGAGTGCAAGGCCAGCCTGGTTTACAGACTGAGTTCCAACAGCCAGGGCAACACAGAGAAACCCTGTCTCAAAAATCCAAAAATAAAAAACAAATGCCCAAACAAAGCGATATCAGAAAAAAAAAATAACCAACAGAAAACACCACTGAGTTCATTCTGTGATGCCTTCTACTGCTAAGCATTGGGCTACCCTTAAGTGTGGTTTGTATACCCAGTGAGACACAAATGAGAAAACATGCTTCATTTGTCTTTCTGAATCTGGAATACCTCACTCAGAAAGACTTTTTCCAGTTCTGTCCATTTACCTGTTAATTTCATAATTCTGTTTTCTTAATAGATGAATAATATTCTATTATTCAACTGTACCACAATTCCATTATCCATTCATCAGTTGATGGCTATCTAGGCTGGTTTCATTTCCTGGCTATTGTGAATGAACATGGGTGAGCAGGTATCTCTATCATAGATATGGAGTCCTTCTGGTATGTGTTCCAGTGGTTTATCTAGTTCTAGAGTTATGATCAATCTCCACTATGACTTCCATAGTGGCTTTACCATACTGCACTTCCACCAGCAGCGAGTAACTATTTCCCCTTCCTTATATTCACATCAGGATGTGTTGTCATTTTTTTTCTATCTTAGCCATTTCGACTTTGATGAGATGAAATCTCCAAAGTAGTTTTAATTTGCATTTACCTAATGGCTAAGGATATTGGACATTAGAAAAAAAAACATTTCTTGGCCATTCGTGCTTTTCAGAGAACTCCCTTCTTAGTTCTCTGCTCCAGTTTGAAGAATGGACTCCCTCTTTTGAATTTGTTGCCCTATGGTGTCCCATATGCCCCCAAGCATCACTGGCTATTGTCAAGGCTCTTGGTTACCCTCCAGAACTTTACAGCAAGACCCTATTGCTGAATATACCACATATATTAGTCATAGAACACGGGGAAGTCAAGTTGGCACTCACCTGGAAACTTCATCCCTGCTGGCTAGATTTCATAGTGCTGGAACATGCTATTCATGCTGGAACACACTATTCATGCTACCAGAGGGGAAAAAGCCATCCTCTTTCTGTCCAGCTGTAACACTGAAAACTACAGTAATGGCCAGCCAGACAAGGCGTGCTTACTGCTGGGATGGGAGCAATCAACCACTTTTTGATTGGATTTGAGGTTCATTCCACAAGTTAAAACTCACATATGGCACAATGATTGGGTTGATTCTGTGATAAGATTGTCCACAGACTCTGAGAGACTGTTAAATGGGCACAGTGTTAAATCGACTCCTAATGATTTGTTGTTATACCCATTTTCTGTGCACCTCTCAACCACCATCAGAGAAGCTTCTTTTGTACTAGATGGTGATTAATATAGAGACCTACAGAGTCGAGTATAGAGAATGAAAGACTACAGAGTCATCTAAATCACACTCCCTCTTCCCAGGGCTTGGGGATCATTGTGGGAGAGTGAAAGGAAGGATTGTAAGAGTCAGGAGCAGTGGACAGCTATAAGGAAACTGTACTTTCTGACGAAGAGGGAAAGATCCACATATAAACTCACAGCAGTTGTGATTTTGTCAAACCAGACAAAATCCCAGAATAAAGATGGGAGGTGGGTACCATCTTCTCCCCCTTTAACTAAGGAACAATCGGCAATTATTAGATCCTTGGAAAGGGAGAGTCAGTCTTCTTAGCAGTTTGTCCCCTGGTGGGTCATTTATGCCCCACTGGGAGGCCACCCATCCAAAAGCATATGGACAGCACAAACTGTACTTTGTGGGTTTTCTTTTTCTCCCTTCCCTATCCTACTACAAATCTCCCCTCTCCCCTTAAAACTCATGGCCTCTTTTCTCATCATTGGTTACTGCATGCATATATGTATTTGTATATACATATGCCTTCCCAAATAGAACCTGTTGAGTCCATTTAATGTTACATATGTATATGTATGTATTCCAGGGCTATTTGTTACTGGACCAACCAATTGGTGTGTTCTGCCCCGGGGATGGCCGCCTCTTTCACTCCCAGCTTAACTCAATTGCTTGTAGTTCTGTGTATAGGGTTGAGACCTTGTGGGCTTTTCCACCCAGTTTGGTGTGTTCATTGGTGTCCTCCTTGTTCAGCTCACATTTGGACAGTCATGTTGGCAAGATTTTATGGGTGTAGCTTCTGGTGTCCCCAAGAGACAATCTCACAGCAAACCCCTGTTTCTCTGGCTCTTACAATCATCTCACTCCCTCTTCTACAATGTTCCCTGAGCCTCAGGTGTGGGATTCTTTTGTAGAGGTATACATTGGAACTGGTCTCCACAACTCCATATTTTAATTGTCTATGGTTTTCTGTAGTGGCCTCTGGTACAGCAGAATTACATATCTTATTATTAAATAAAATTGAGTTTTTTTCACATTTTACATAACTTAACATAGATCATCTGGAAAACATATTGAATGCATTTGGTGAATTTTCCTTTTGTTTACTTTTGTTTTGTTTTTTGAGGCAGGGTTTCTCTTTGTAGCTTTTGGAGCCTGTCCTGGAACTTGCTTTGTAGATCAGGCTGGTCTTGAACTCACAGAGATCTGCCTGCCTCTGCCTCCTGAGTTCTGGGATTAAAGGCTTAAGCCACCACACCTGGCATCCCCAATGTACCACCACAGCCCATCTTGGAGCATTTTCTTTAATTTACTTTAGTAATCCAAAAAGCCATGCTATCTATACAAATATCCACTCATCTTATCCATGTTTCTCCTTGCTACAATTTCATTTAGCCATGGTCAACTGACAATAAGTTAGAAGGTCAAAAGCAAATGAGAATCTTCAGTGACCACTTTGGGTATTTCCATTAATACAGGAGTCTCTTGCTTGTCAATGGGGATGTGTTCCATTCCTCCACTGGTTTCCCTTTTGATGCCTCAGGGATTACTGAAGCATGTGGATACTGTGCTTTTTCCTACACAACGTACCCGTGAAAAGCAAATGTATAAATTAGAAGTAATAAGAAATTAACAACAATAACTAATAAATAGAATAATTGCAACAATGTGTTATGATGAAAGCAATGTGAATGTTGTTTCTCTTAAAATACCTTACTGTTCTGTATTCTCCCTGGTCCTGTTGGGAGATGATACGATGCCTCTGTGCTAAGATGAAGGGAGGAAAGTCGCAGAGCTGTTACGACATGGCCTTAGGCTACTTTTGACTTTGTGACTTGATGTCAGCTGACCATGGATAAATGAAACCATAGCAAGGAGACATTTTTGAAAATGAGCTGGGAAGAGAGCTCAGTTAATGAAATGCTTTTCATGTAAACAAAATGGCCTAAGTTCTGAGTTTCAGACCTCATGTAAAAACCAGCACGTCTGTAACCAACATGTGTTGGGGTAGAGAGACACAGATGTCTAGCACTTGATAATAAGCTGGCATGATCTTCAGGGCCTGGAAGTCCTTATCTCAGACAATAAGGTAGAGAGCAACGAAGGACAACATCCTCTGTCCCCCACATGCACAAATACACACACACACACACACACACACACACACACACACCACCACCACCACCATACCACATATACACACACACTCACACACAACACACACAGCACATATACACACTCATATACCACAAACACACATTCACACACCACAACACACACACACACACACACACAGAGGAGAGAAAGAGAGAGGGGGGGAGAGAGAGAGCTGATACAAAAGGAAGAATGCAAGCCAAACCAAGTGCTCTCCAAACAAATTTCCTAGGACTCTTAAGCCCATCTCAAGTTCCTAATTGGTGGAGATAACTTACACAAATCAGTACTGAAAAAATGATCTCAAAGATATAGGCACAGCACGTACTGATAGATTATACCTAAGCTGAATCCTGTAGGCTCCTCCAAAACTAAAACATTTAGCAAATGAATAACCTCCAACCAAAGTACTTTTCTAGACTACTGGGCCCAGGATGAAGCCAATTGAGCTTCTCCCAAACCCAAACTCCTATTATTCACCCAACAAAGCATCCAATCAATGCCACCAGTGCTGTATAATAAAGCATTCTCTAGCCACTGCTTGGACATCCCTGGAGTTCCAACCATAAACTCAGCTAGCCACTCCACTGGTAGTTGAAATGAGACCCCTTTTATTTAGATATTTAATGAGATATTCCCCATGCCTGGAAATAAAGGGTTGTGACTCCCAGGGTCAGATTCTTTCTCTTGCTGACTGCCACACTGTCACTGGAATTTGAGGATTCTGCTGAAGTCTCAGGCCTGTGCAAAGCCTCCCTTGAAGAAGACAGATTTGAGCATCAACCTCAAATCTTTATCTCCTCTTTCACAACAAGAAGAGATTTTCATGGAAGAAAATATCATGGGGAGTGTGGATGGATGGTGCAAAGGGAAAATCCATGCCCTGGGCCTCCAGCATCAGAGCTGTAGTGACTTTGAGGACAATCTGGACTGCATGAGACTGTGGGTAAAATTTAAATTAATTGAGAACTCTTAAATGAAAGGAATAATAGGCATCACAGATGCTAGGTGGGAATGTGGGTGTTTTGTTTATGTCCATTACAAAAGTCAGGTCTGTAAGTAGTTCTTCAGTGTTGGAGCCCTGATTGTCTTTATTTCACTGCAATGTCAGCATTGAGACTGAAGAAGAGTCCACGAGTTCCAAGTGTAGCCACAGAGCAGTGATTTTGGCAACTTCTGAACTAAAATATTTGGGATAAGTACATCTACTTATACAAAATGCATTTTAGGTTATTTCTGCTCATGGTGTCAGATTTTGACCTTGGAATTTCTTCCTCGATTGCTTTTCACCTTAAAATGTATTGTGTGTTAATGTATATGGTGTGTGTGTGTGTGTGTGTGTGTGTGTGTGTGTGTGTGTAGAATTTCACTTGGTAGCTGTATTCAAGATGTGTCTGTGCCATGATGCATATATGTGTATATGTGTATGTGTGTGTGTATGAATTGTGTGTGTGTGTGTGTGTGTGTGTGTGTGTGTGTGTGTGCGTGTTTCTGTGCAGATTTTGCAGAGTTGGTTCTCCCCTGTGAGTTCTAGGAATTGAACTTAGCTTGAGCAACAAGTCACCTTTATCCACTGAGCCATCTTGCTGGTCCTCTATATGTATTTATTTATTTATTTATTTGCATCTTGGTCTCTCACTAAACCCAGAACTGGCTGTTTGGGCTAGTCTGGCTGGCCAGCAAACCTCTGTATCCCGACTCCACCCACCCAGTGCTGGGGTCAAGGTTGGTACTATCACAGCAGTTTTTCATACAGCTTCTAGTATCTGAATTCAAGTCCTGATGTTTCTGACCATCAAGAGCTACGCCATCTCCCCAGGTCCTCGGAGGGAGCTCTGCGATGAGCAATGGCTCTTTAAATGGCCTTCTTTTCTTTCTAGGAAGAACAGGAACCATGGTCTGTGCCTGCCTCATTGCCAGTGAAATAGTTTTAAATGCAAAGGTATGAAAAGCATCACTCTCTTCTCACGTGGGCTGAATCTGCCTATCCTGGAGCAGCACTGTGTTATGATGCCTCTGAGCCATGACTCCTAGAAGTTAAACTGGAGAGGTGGTTTTCAGAAACCCTAGATTTGTACTGCCTAGTCTAATGCACAGTTGGTAATTGACCTGTCTCTTGCCCTGGGCCTGGATTAGACTGAGGTCAAAGAGACACAAAATCTAACAGAATGAAAAACATTCCAGTAATTAAGATTTGTCACATTTTAGTGCAATATTTTAAAAAATAAGTAGTATAAAAATCATGATATATACAGTAGCAACATTTTAATAGAGGCAGGCATAGTTAACTGCAAGATTAAGGTAAAATAGGTTAAGCCACATCATACAAATGTAAAAAGGCTCTGTTGGGTTTGCTGGTGCTGCCCCTGACCCAGCACGCCATGCTGGAGCAGGAAGATCTTAAATTCAAGGTTAGCCTGGGCTATAGGAGGAAAAGGTCAAAATGTTCTCCCTCCCCTCACCACCAATCACATGGCTTCTTCTTCCCAAGAATAATATCAAGATTAATTAGATAAGAGCCTTCAGAGGACTTAAGTGTCTTTGTAATCATTAAGTCATTAGAAATTAACATTTTCCAATTCACAGCAGCATAATATTGTCCCTGCTTAGTCAAAGTCAGTGTAACCTTTGCTAGAAATGTCTGAGGAGACAACCTGGGCTCTTTCCAGAGCCTAAAAAAAAAAATCTTTTTTTTTTTTTTTTTTTTTTTTGTGCATATGAGTTGTGAGTTGGTTTTCTCTTTCCACTGTGTGGGTTCCGGGCATCAAACTTAAGTCATCAGGTTTGGCAGCAAGCTCCTTTACCCACTGAGCCATCTTGCTTATCCTGTTCAGACATTTTGAAACAGAGATCTCTCTTTTGCCTCCAGGAGCTTGCTGGGAGTTTAGCATTTACAGGATGCACTTCTGAAAGCTCTGTTTATCTCTCCTACAGTCTATAGAGGAGGAGCTTTGGCTTCCAAACATATGTACTTCTAGAATCCCACCATCCTCTCTGTTTTTATAGCTTGACACATAGGTTTTGAAAATGGGTGTTTATCCTAGTTTCCTATAGTCCCTGGAGGCTGTGGGTGATGCCATGCCTGCCCTAGGGCTGAGCCAGTTGGCCTAGTGCCTGGGGGCCAAGGGCACAAGTGAAAGAGAAAAAAAAAAGGGGGGTGTCCTGGGATAGTGATTTTTAAATTACAAATCAATAATTAATGAGTGATCAAATCAACTTAATTAGGTCCTGGGGAGATAGCTCTGGTGGTAAAGGGCCTGTTATATAAGCATAAGACCCTGAGTGCAGAACCCTAGCACCCACATAAAAACATGGTAGCAAGTGCCTATCCATAACTCAGGATGGGTGGGTAGAGCGCTAGAGACAGGTGCTTCTCTGGAGCTTGCTGGCCATCCTGCCTAATCAAATCAGTGTGCTCCATTGGAGAGAGTTGGGGGCATGGGTCTGTGGGTAAAGAGCCGGTTGCTGGAGCATGAGGGCCTGAGTTTGGATCTGCAGCACCTATTTGTAAAAGCCACGTCCATATTGTGTGCATGCTCCTGTAACCCCAACATGGAAGAGTCTGAGGCAGGGGTTCAGGCCAATTCCAAGGGCTTGCTGACCAGCCAATCTATCTGAATGAGTGAGCTCCAGGTTCAGTGGTACCCTGAGTTAACCCGCCTGGTTCCCTGGCTAGAGTCTGGCTGGTTTCTTGTTTGTAAAAACGGAAGGTAGAAGGGTTGGACCAGATGCTTCTTAGACTTTTGGTGTGTTTATGAGTCTAGAGAAGTCCCTGATATGGCCAGCTTAAGGAAGCCAGACTTTAATGATGCCTGGTGCAGGAAAATGAAGAGTTTAGCTATACCATGCTGTGTCATCCCCTTTCCCGTAAGAAAAGGAAGAGTGCAGCTAAACCATATTGTGTTGTTCTCTTTCCCATAGGAAAGCCTTTACTTTTTTGGGGAGCGGCGAACAGATAAAGCCAGCAGCTCTAAGTTTCAAGGCGTAGAGACCCCTTCTCAGGTAAGACCCTTCTTTTGAGGGTTCTGTGGGAGGGTGAGAGACACTTTTTATAGTTTAATGTCCCACCCTTCCATCTGATGACTAGTTGACAATGCTCAGGTGTCCTGGGCCAGGCTTTGTTCCCTCCTTGAAACTGAGAGCCTCACCTCAGATGCCAAGCCTTGTGATCTTCCCAGAACATCCTGCTTTACATTTTATATTTGCTATTGTTTCTAGGGTTCAGGAATTGGTTTGCCCTTGCAAAATACACCATTCCTGACCTGTAACCATCATATAAAGTCTACCACTCAATTCCCTGACTTCTATTCAGACACACTAGCAAATCAATCCCTGAAAAATGTCATAGAAACTGTTTCTGGATGGTGTGTGTGTGTGTGTGTGTGTGTGTGTGTGTGTGTGTGTGTGTGTGATGTGTGATGTGTGATGTGTCTGTATGTATGTATCTCTGTGTGTATATGTCTGTGCCTGTGTGTATGTCTCCCTCTCTCACTGTGTGTGTGTTGTTCTGTATAAAGAGAAAACATGACAGTTTTAAGGGGGTAGGGGCAGAGAGAGGAAGAAAAATTATATTTTAAAGAAGAATAAGTCAGGCAGTGGTGGTACATGTCTTTAATCCCAATACTTGGGAGGCAGAGGCAGGTGGATCTCTGAGTTTGAGGCCAGCCTGGTCTACATAGTGAGTTCCAGGACATCCAGGGCTACACAGAGAACCTTGTCTCAAAGGCAAAAAAACAAAAAACAAACAAAATGAAAAGGAAAGAAAGTACTTTGGAAAACACTATTATAAGTCAGCCATGGTGGCTCATGTCTATAATCCTAGAGTGAGGTAGGAGGATCTCAGTTTTGAGGCTAGCATAGATAAAACCTTGCCTCAAAAAATATTTATTGCATATCAGATAAGATTGTATTTCATATATATCACATTTAATTCTATATACTATTGTGAAATATATGCTAGTGCCTTTTATTCTTTCAAAAACAGTTTATTATGGAATTTTCCAAACACTGTACTAGGGATGATTGTCAGCACTGTGTCAAATATGTGATAGAGCAGTTTAAAGGTGAGGAGGTTTGTCTGGCTCAGTTTAGGTTCCTGGTCAATCACTCCGTTTTCTTTGCCCCTGAGGGAGACAGTAGATGAGGGAGCCAAACCATAATCCTCAAACCATAGCACATACACAAAACTGGAGTAGACCACTTTATCGTCTCACACCACTTCAGCTATCATTTCAGCCCTCCATCATTCATTCTCTACCCATTCTTCTGAGTAGAGACACTAAACACTAGAGTCCACACTTTCTTTCCCTAAACCTGAATTATTTTGAAGAAAATTCCAGCCAACAGATCATTTTATCCCACAAGTATTTCAGTATAACATCTGACATAAGGATTCTCTTAAAAATACCTTAATATGGGCTGGAGAGATGACTTAGCCATTAAAGGATAGGCTTACAACCAAAAATATTTTTTAAAAAAATACCTTAATATCCACCAGACATGCTGGTTGGTACATACCTGTAATCCTAGTGCTCAGAAGGCAGAGACAGGTGGATCTCTGTGAGTTCAAGGGTCCAGCCTAGGCTACATAGAGAATTCCAGGATAGCCGGGGCTACACAGAGAAACCCTGCATCAAAGCAAACAAAAAACCTTCTTAATACCATTTACCAAGGCTACCAGTGCAAGGACTCAACTACAGGTTTGAGAAGCATTGGCCAGGTCATGGTTAGAGTGCCCTTTTCTGGGTGCTGGTGGCCTCAACAGTTGGGTAGTGGTACTTATACATCATCATAATCTATGGCTTGTGGAGCACTCTATAGCCACAGCATATCCACTTCAGTTAAGGACTTATAGAAACCTTTCTTATAACTGTCATTTCTTGTTTTAAAAATTAATATTTAGGTTAGCACACAAAGCAATTGATTTCATTATGATATCTTCATACATGTGTCATATTTTGTTCCTATTCACCCCTGCCTCTGTGCCACTGTCCTCATCCATTATCTACCATTCTCTGGCTCATTTCCTTCATTCCCTCAGTTAGTATTCCATTATTCTCTCTGCGTCCCCATTTCTTTAAGATCTCTTCCTTCCCTTCCATGATGCTCTTTCTAGTTTCATGAGCTGAAGTACATATACAAACATATAAATACACACATGTATGTACACATTATATATAATTTTGAATTAAGTTCTATATAAAGAGAAAACATGACAGACTCAGAAAGACACGACTTCCATTTCTTTCTTTCTTTCTTTCTTTCTTCCTTCCTTCCTTTCTTTCTTACTTTCTTTCTGTGTGTGTATGTGTTTGTGTGTATTTGTCTAGTGCATACATGTGAACATGCAGGTACATGTGCTGTGTGCATACATGCAAGGCAGAAGAAGGCATTGGGCATCTTCCTCTAATGCTCTCTACCTTGGTGTCTTGAGATGGGCCTTTCACTTAACCAGAAGTTTGCTGTTTGGGCTAGATTGTCTAGCTGTCTAGCTAATGGATAAACTCCGAGTTTACTGAGAGACCTTGTGTCAGAAAAATAAGATAATTCTATGGGAATTCTAAGCCAGTTTGTTCTACATAGAAAATGTAAGGTTAGCCAGGGCTACATGCTGAAATTTTATCCCAATGTTGATGAAGAGTCTCGATGATGATGATGATGATGGTAATGATGGTGATGATGATGATGATGATGATGATGATGATGATGGTAATGATGGTGATGATGATGATGATGGTGATGATGGTAATGATGGTGATGATGATGATGATGATGATGGTAATGATGGCGATGATGATGATATGATAATGATCTAAGAAGATAGCCAGCACCAACCTCAGGCCTCCACATGAGCACCCACATACCCAGATGCACATATACTGTGTGTGTGTGTGTGTGTGTGTGTGTGTGTGTGTGTGTATAATATACATATATGTGCATATATATTATATAACACATGCACAAAACCAACAACATGGTCAGCCCATACACAAGGATTGGCTCCTTCCATGTTAGTTCATTCACCACAGCACCCAACTCAGTATTTTTTCTTGTTAGATACTAAGTCATTAGACAACATATATGAAATATGCCCAACTATGTAATAGCATCTGCAATTGTTTCCTCACCTTAACTGTACCTGACAAATTCTTTGTAAAGGGGGAATATGGGAAAGAAAAGGAAGAGGGATGAGTCATGCTGACTTTAGACTTTTCATCCCCACCTTAATTGAGGCTTCTGTTGCTTTGCAGAATAGATATGTTAAATATTTTGAAAAACTGAAAATTAGCTACCAGTGGACCCTCCCTGCAAGAAAAATGCTCATGATAAAAAGATTCATTCTTTATTCTATTCATGGTAAGTGTTTATTTGGAACTGAAGGGCCGGGCAGAAGGGCCAGTGTTTTCATGTTTGGGAAGGTAACTGTCTATTCACAATGTCTCAAACATGAACTCTGACCTCTGTAGTTGCCATGTGACAGCTCTTAAATGTCCCCATCCTTCCCTTTTCTTCATCAGCTAGCGTGGGGGGCTTGGGGATGGCACCATAGTCCCTTCTCATTTCTTCTCTGATCTCAGTCCAGGGAATATTTCAAGGCCAGTATAAGAGGAGGGGCAGGGAAAGAAGATAGCCTTGAGTACTCGAGACCTCTTCTTTCCCATACTCAACTCTAGTTCAAGGTCCATCTTGCCGGCATGCCCATATAATTTCCTTGCCTGCCCTTTCAGAGACCCCTTTTCCTCACCACCTGATCTCCTCATTTATACCTTCTCCTACTACAACCTTCACTGGCATCTCCATCAAGATGCCTGAAATACCCAGGCAGCAAATGTTTTCTTTATTGCCACATAACTATTAAGGCTTGTGTTAGACCAGGCTTATTCCAGTGTCTCCTGCCCTTTAGAAGTTCTTGGGTAGATTCTGCAGTCTCTGACAGTGAGTGTCTGTGTTAATCACCACCTCAATAAAGTGGAACATATAGATGGCACTCCCCCACCATACCAAAGCTGAGATCATTGGAAAGATGGGGTAGAAAGAGGGTAAGAGTGGATGACGGCATGGAAACAGTGTCTTTAGAACACAGTGGGAAAGTTCACATCTGAACTCACAGTAGTTGTGGCAGCAGGCACAAGACTAGTGCAAGCCCAAACCACACCAAATTCCAGCGTGTAGAGGGAAGTTGGGCATGAAATCCTATGTCCAGCTGAGGAGCCATTGGTGGTTGGCAGCTGCCGGCAGAAGATGAGTCAGTTTGCTCTGAAAGTTTAGCCTCTGGTAAGTCAACCACATTCCAGTGGAAGACCACACATCCAAGAATATTTGGGGAATACAAACTAATCTTGATGGGTTTTGATTAAAGAACAAATAGATACAGAGTAGGAGGGTATGGAAGGAATGGTTCTGGGAAGAGTTGGCAGAAGGAGGTGAACAGCAAGTTACATGGAATTCTCAAAGAATGAATACAAATGTTTCTAAAGAAGTTTCTGTGTGGTTGGCAAAGGAGGGAAACAGCTCAAAGATGAGCAGCCAGAGTTCTGGAGCACGTAAGTCAGTACTCACAGAGATCCTCTGAGAAACACAGGAAATAATACCTACATGCATAGTCTTTGACATTTGCTCCGTTTTTCAGAAAGAAACCTTTAAGATACAATTTAAGGCTGAGTGGTAGCAGTGCATGCCTTTAATAACAGCACTTGGGAGGAAGAGGCAGGCAGATCTCTATGAATTTGAGGCCAGCTTGGTCTACAGAGTGAGTTCCAGGACAGTTAAGGCTATATTACATAGAGAAACCTGTCTCGAAAACAAAATAAAACAAAACAAGAATAAAAATTGTTTGTTAAAAACTCTAAGATTACAAATATAAATTCAAGTATCTTATCCATTGCCTTGACCTGATATCTGATCATAACACTGTAGTTTTCCTCAATAATAGTTTCACATTTATTTAAACCCTGTGGAGACATTGTTTATTTAAAACTAGAAAGTTTTTTTTTTGAGACAGGGTTTCTCTGTGTAGCTTTAAAGCCTATCCTGGCACTTGCTCTGGAGACCAGGCTGGCCTCGACTTCACAGAGATCCGCCTGCCTCTGCCTCACAAGTGCTGGGATTAAAGGCGTGCGCCCCAATGCCCGGCTAAAACTAGAAAGATTTATAGATTTAGTCAGAGACCAGAGGAGTTAACACACACATACACATCCAAGGAAGTCTAGTAGGGCATTTCATGGGCTTGATTTGTAATTTCAGCTTAACATAAGGCAGAGGTCTTTAAGCACGGTTTAAGGAAGACTCCTTAGGAAGACAGAAACATGTCTTAAAAGTGGGATTGCTCTAGATTTACAGACTAGACTTCAGGAGGCCTACATGTCTGGGTAATGTTATAACAGCACACAGGCAACAACCAGTCTTGTTTTTTTAAATAAGAATTTAAGAATTCCCTTAAAGAATCTAATCAGAATAGAAAGGGAATGGATGGGAAAAGTGTAGAATTGACATAGACATTTGTCTATGCTGCTGTTTAGGCTTCTCAGCACCTTCCATGGCCTTTGAACTATTTTGTAATTTTTTATTTTGTAGAAAATTGATGATTACAAATAATCTGTCCAGCCAGGTGGTGGTGGCACATGCCTTTAATCCCAGCACTCAGGAGGCAGAAGCAGGAGGATCTCTGTGAGTTCGAACCCAGCCTAGTCTACAAGAGCTAGTTCTAGGACAGCCTCCAAAGCCACAGAGAAAGCCTGTCTTGAAAAAAAAAAAAAACAACAAATAATCTGTCCATAGAATTCTAAGTTAATTGTGTCCAGTAGCTTGTACTTACTCGTAAGTTCAGTCATTCCCTACCTGCCTGTTCACGTGTTAAAACATCTGTAACATTGTACTTCTCCTTCACTTATCAATTAGTTAAATCCAAATTTTGGCAAAGTTCAAGGCAATGATATGAAGCTATTCCTGTAAAATGGAAAGTGATATATGTGTTCACATTCATGTAGGAAACAAATATTCACAATTGATTGTTAAAAGCATATCAAGTTGCCTTCCCTAGCTTTAATACAAGGCGAGGTGCTTACTACAACTTGACATGCCATGTTCTGTTGATATCCTTGGAAGGCCTGTCCTTTTCTGAATAGAAACAGAGGAGTGAACGGAGTAGGGCATAAGGAGGTGGGAGTAAGAGACTAGGAGGAGAAAAGGGAGGGGAAACTGTGATCGGGATGTAATGTACATATATGTGTATGTGTGTGTGTGTATGTGTGTGTATGTGTGTAAACATATACACATATATGTATAATAGATAAAATTTTTCATCACCTAAAAATAAAAATAATACATAATATTGATTACATATTTGTGTCTGAGGAACAAAATAGGTGAAGAATGATTAAGACAGATTTTTCACTTCGTAGGATTTTTGTTTATTTGTTTTACTTTTGTGTTTTTAAATCATTAAGATTCACTTACACAGTTTGAAGTATGTGAGAACTTAAGGGCTTAGATAAATCATGTGATAAGTATTTGACTTCATATAGTTCTATATTTTTAAATTTTTATCATCTATATTCATTGTACCATGTTACATAAAACATTTTCATACAAACATAACAGTTTTACATTTTATTGATTTCTGGTAGAAGTTTGGGAACTGGAGTGGAGCAGAGGAATCAGGCAAGAACAATTCACAATGATAATCTAATAAGATGGTGTTAATGAAGCGTTAAATGTAAAGAAAACAATGTTAGATGGACCATCAAAAGTGACTAGGACTTTATTAATCTGTTAAGGTAAAAATATGGGGAAAGTTACGTGGAGGATTCCAAGATCAGGTGTTTGAGGAAACAACAAAGGAAGTGGTACCATTAGAACCAGAGAAAGGGTCATAAGACCATCTATGTGAAGTTTATACTGAGTGCTAAAGGAAGTCTGAATATGGCCACCCTATATCTTCATAGAGATTGTGTCACAAACTGGACTCAGGGTAGAACAAGAGGAATAATTATTTTTAAATGTCGTGATTGGAAGTCCAGGAAGATTTTCAAGCCACCTTCCCTGTGCTGTTTGCTAGAAATACGAAACAATGGAATTCTAACTCTTAGAAAGTAAATTGTGTTTTTCCCCCTCCCTCTCTCTCTAGCCTTATAAATTCTGCTTTAGGAGACAAAATTTGGGTTTTTGAAATCTTTGTTTTTCAAAGACAAAATCTATACAAGGTCAAATGATTAAATATGACGACATTGCTCAATGAGATCAATATTCTCTTCTCAAGCTAGAGTGTCAGTAGGAGAGCTGTTTTGACTTTTAATAACTCTATATTTTTCACTTTTACTCAGGTGTTGGAAAGGGTGATGGGAGTGATCTGGAAGTACAGGTAGTAATGTGGCAAGAGACTGTATTTTCCTGTTTTTCTTCCAAAAATTGTATGGTAAGAGAAAACGCATGAACTGAAATTCCTGGTTTTACTTTTGCTTTTGTTAGTGTGTGCATGTGGAGGGGTATAGTTGTATGTGCATGCATGCGGAATCCAGATATCAAGGCTGGGTGCCTGCTTTAATGGCTACCCACCTCATTTTTTGAGACTGAGTATCTCAATGATCCTGGCACTGGCTAATTCAGCAAGTCCACGGATCCTCCCATCTCCACATCCCCTGTGCTAGAATTACGGGAATGATCCCCACATCCAGCCTCTTATGCAGGTGCTGAGAATCCAAACTCTGGCTGATAATTTTGCTGGGCATAGTAATCTTGGTTAACACCTGTGTCATTTTTATTTTTCACTTTTTAAGTTTTTGAGACTATAATTACAACATTTCTCCCTTCTCTTTCCTCTCTTCAAACCCTCTCATATGCTGCTCCTTGCTCTCATCCAAATTGGTGACCCGTTTTTCATTAACTAGTATTGCATGTATGTATGTGTATCTATGTACATGAATATTCATAAATATAACCTGTTCCATCTATATAATGTTACTTGTATGAGTGTTTTCAGGATTGGCCATTTGGTTTTGACTAACCAGCCTACGTGCTCTTTCCTGTAGGAAAACACCTCTCCCGCTCCCAGCATTCCCCAGTTTCCTAGAATTCTTGTGTAGGGTTGAGGCCTCAGGGCTTTTCCCTGTCATGAGTGTCATCCTTGTTCAGCTTTTTGGCCAGTCATATTGGTGACATTTTTTGAGTATAGCTTCCCACAATACTAGAAGACACAGTATCACAGAAAATTCCCTGACCAGTTGGCTCTTAAAATCTTTCTGCCCCCTCTTCCACAATGTTCTGTAACTTTACTAGCACTGAGTATTTAGCTGGGTTTCCAGTACCAGGCATGGTTTTCCTCTGATTGAATGGGGCTCAAGTCCAATTAAAGAGCTGTTGGTTACTGCTAAGGCATGTATGCCACTGTGCCCTTAGGGTTATCATGTCATGTTGGTCATTCATGTGGCTTATATGTGTGGTGGTAGCTAAGTAGAACTGTGGGTTGTCTCCTTCCTTTAGAAGTTTAGATGGCACCTTCTGGTGGTGTTTGTGTTCTTTTAGAGCATGGAGTGCATTGCTCCAGGATCTCCTGGCTTTTAAAGTTTACATTGTAATTCAGCAGTTATCCTGCTGTTTTTACTTTATATGTGACTTGTTTTTCTTTTGCAGTTTTCAATGCGCCCTCTTGGTTCTATATATTGTTTCAACTATAATCTACCACAGTAAGTTTCTTTTCTGGTCCTGTATATTAGATGGTACAAGTGCTTCTTGTGTCTTTATGTGTATGTCTTTCCTTAATTTGAGGAAATTTCCTTCTACAATCTGGTCTATGACCTTCACTGGAAATTCATCTCCATCTATGCCTATAATTCATAGTTTTGGTCTTTTCATGGGGTCTTAAAGTTCCTCATATTCCTTTGTGCTTTGAATTTTTCTTATTCTTTGCTTGAGTGGTCCAATTCTTCCACTTTACTCTCAAGTCTTCATCTTCTATCTTCTAATTAACCCTTTCTATTGGTATGGTTTTCCCCTGCATTTTCTAATTGGGTTATTGAGTTTTTCAATTCCATCATTTTGGCTTGTGTTTTCTTCAGTATTTCTGTGTTTCTACTGTACTCACTTTTTAGATACTGACTTTTCTTGTTATTTCATTCAACCATGTTTAAGTTTTTTGAGGGGTTTAAACTATTTAAACTCCATGAGTTGTTTGCTCATCATCATTGTTATTTTAAATTCTATGTCCTGGGTTCATCTAAGTAATTCTCATTGGAGAACATATCTTTCATATTTGTTATGTTTTTCAAAGTGACCTGGGCATGTGGAGTTCTTTCTTTGGATGTATATAATATGCGGAATTCTAGTCTGCTCTGTTTAGTGGAAGCTTGGCTTTGTTGTTGCCACCCAAGCTTGGTTGATTTGACATCAGCTATGAAGAGTTGGTAGGTCAGTTCTCTGGTTCTCAGTGTTGATTTTTATTTTACATGTGCAGGTGTTTTTGCATACCTGTATGTGTACACCATGTATATGCAATGCCCAGAGAAACCAGAATAGGGTATTCGATTCCCACCAGAGTTACAAATGGTTGCCAGCCACCATATGGGTTCTGGGAATCAAATTCAAGTTTTCTGGAAGAATAGCTAGTGCTTGTAACTGCTGAGCCATCTCTCCAGCCCCTCTGGTGTTGATTTTTGACTACATGGGTGTGGGTGATTCCAATTCAGTGGTAACCAAGAAAGTGTATGAATGGGACTTATGGCTGGGTCTGCCTGGGATGGTGTGCAAGCTTCACTAGTCAGGAAATACATAGGAGTATGTGTAGATGAGATGTAAGCTGGAGTATTCACCAAGATAGGCTGGTGAGTAAACGGGCTGTGCTAGCAAGGCATAGCCAGGTTTGGCATAGGCAGGTGATGCTCTGTGAGAATTCCCAGGCTAGGTCAGCACTGAAGCTGCTAACAGAGCTAGGCCCGAGTGACAGGGGTGTCATATGTGGTTCAGTTTGTGAGGAACTCACCAGGATGAATGGGTGCAAAAGCTGCACAACCAGCACTAGACATGGGGTTTGGGGATGGCAGGCATAGTGCTTTTTTTTTTTTTTAACTAGGCTTCAACATAGGAAAATCAGATGGCATTATTTCCAACAATAATGCTTTCTTGGTTGAGGTCTATTTAATACTGTCTTTTTCAACATTGTCCTGTCATAGCCCTCAACAGATGCAAGATTAATTTAAATAACTGAGTTATTATTTCATAGAAAGATTAATATCTACGTGTGTGTGTGTGTGTGTGTGTGTGTGTGTGTGTGTGTGTGATGATTGGGCTATGGCACCAAGAATAGTTGATAAATTTAGGGTGTTTGAGGGAGTAAAAGTGGATTTCATTCTTATACGTCTTAAGCAAGCATGTAGTTCTGAATTTCATATGTTTATCCACAGATATTTCATGATGTTGAAACAGACAGAGTAATAATTAATGTATTCAACTGTCCAGCTCTATATGATGATGTGAAAGTGAAATTTCTCTCTCCGGTGAGTAATCAAGATACACCTTGTTCTTGCCTAGTCTTTTTCTTTTGTTTTAGTTATTTGAGACAGAGATGCACAGTCCAGGTTGGCTGGAAGCTTACCATGCAACACAGGCTGACCTTGAACCTGTGATCCTCCTGCCTCAGCCTCCCAAGTGCTGGGGTTACAGGTTTGTGTCACCAAGCATGGCTCTTTCTTGTCTAGTTTTCTAATGATTTTGGTTTGGAATTTCCTTTGCTATAATTCCCAATAAAGAAATAACAGACATCAGCCCATGGCCAGGAAGTTAGAAGAAAGCAACAAATCAAAATGAAACATTTTCTTCCCTAAAGAACATATATAATATTTTGAAGCCAGGTGTTGGTGGCACATGTCTTTAAGCCCAGCACTCAGGGAGGCAGAGGCAGGTGGATCTCTGTGAGTTTGAGACCTGCCTGGTCTACAAGAGCTAGTTCCGGGGCAGCCTCCAAAGCCACAGAGAAACCCTGTCTCAGAGGGAAAAAAAAAAGTATAAAAGCCAGAACACTGGGAGTCAACAGTGATATTATATCAGAAGCTACATTCATTAGAATCTCATCATCAGGACAATAACAATAGACATGCTAACATGGACTGGTTCAGGGAGCCCAAGAGGCCTTAACTCTACACAAAGAACTGCAGGCGACTAAGGAATTCTGAGAGTGGGAGAGATAGTCTCTTCTCTCAGTCAGAGCACACTAATTGTTCATGCAATACTAAATAGTCAACACCGAAAATATATTTACAAGTAACATTATACAGCCTGAGCAGCTTCTACCTACATAGGAATATGTATGTATGTATTATGTATGCACACATGTATTTAACAACAATTAATGAAAACAGAGACGATGAATTTCAAAAAGAACTAGGAGGCTCTTTTGAAGGAAATGTTCCTTCTCTTTCCTCCTTCCACCCTCCTATATCTTCTCGCCTTACCCCTTCTCACATTTTAAGATTTCCTCGTTCCAAATTATTGTGTCTATTGGTGTTGGCATTGTTTAGGTCTTGTGTAAGCAGCCATATTGTTGTGATCATGGATGAAGCCTGCTTAGCATTTCTAACAGACACATACCAAATCCTAGCTGATTTCCTGGTCTTCTGGCTCTTACAATGCTTCTGACCTCTCTTCCCTGTTGATCCTTGAGCCTCAGGTACAGGAGTTGTGTTGTGGATGTGTACATTGGAGCAAGGTTCTCCATGATAAGTTGTTCTCCATATTTTGACCAGTTGTTTTTTGTATTTTTGTAATGATCTCTGTCTGCTACAAAGAAAAGCTTCTTTGTGGAGGTTTAAGAGCTACACTTATCTGTGGGTGGGTAAGTATTTAGACTGCAGTTAGGAATTATGCTGGTTTAGTAAAGTGGTAATACAAGGTTATTCTCTAAGATCCATGACCACTAGCTCCAGGTAGTTGACTAGGTTTCTGATACCAGCCATGATTTATCTCCTGATGAGTGAGCCTTAAATCTTAATTAGCTGTTGGTTGCTGCCAAGACAGTGCCACTGTTGCACCCTAGGGATATCTTGCCATAATGTTCATGGCTCGGTAGAACTATTGCTTGCTTCCCTCCCCTCACAGGGCACATAGAGCTTCCTGAGGCTTTGTCAGGCTCAGCTTGGCTCTTCTGAGTATTGTGTCAAAAGTCCATGGTGTCCCTTCAGCAATAGGGACTTGCTGTCAACCTCTAAGAGGCAATCAATAGCAACAGCAATAGCCTGTATTGTTTGGGGAATCTCTGGCTCTTCCCTGGCCAATATTTGAAATGAAACAATTTCTCACACTTGGTACTGAGGGTTTTGCTAGTCTATTGCTCTTAGTGGGAATGCTGTCAGCTCAAATCGCATAACCTCAATACACACACACACACTCACACACACACTTATATGTACTATATATAAATTTACAATAATAAAAATGATTCCTTATGACTCTTTCAAACACCGCAATTTTTTTTTTTTGGTTTTTTTGAGACAGGGTTTCTCTGTGCAACTTTGGAGCCTATCCTGGCACTCGCTCTGGAGACCAGGCTGGCTTCGAACTCACAGAGATCCGTCTGCCTCTGCCTCCCAAGTGCTGGGATTAAAGGCAAGAGCCACTAACACCCGGAAAACACTGCCATTTTTAATGCATAAAGGTTACATTTTAATGAAGTTCAACTTACCTGTTTCCTTTTACTTCACTGCATTAACTTGAGATTTATACTTTAATTGAAAAATTACCAGCAAAGTAACCCATTTAACAATAAATACCTTTCCTTAAAATTTTTAACACTGAGAAAGCAATAGTCTCTTGAAGCCTTCTTTGTGTCTTGAGTGTATCATTATAAACTGCAAAGTGCTTTGTATTTAATGGATGTGATTGCTTAATGTTTTTATAGGAATAAGGGAAATTTTAAACTTATTGGAATCATTCAGTGTATCAGTTTTATCATGAAACTAACCTTTTCTTTAACCATGTCTTTTTTAGAATCTCCCTAGCTACTATGATGACTGCCCTTTTTTCTTTTGGTTTCACACAGCTTTTATACGAAATAACAGGTAGGGATACGTTGTAATCCAACAGAACAGCTTAATATCCCATGTGTGTATTATGTCAAGGTTTATGCTATCCTGAGTTCAACTTATAGAAACAAAACAAAATCCTTGAGTCATCATTCCAATGCATTAGTCACCTTAATGTGGTTTTAAAATCGTTTTAGAGTCTGTTTGTATTTATTAATATGAAACACACATACAGCACAATATATATTTACAGTTTGTGTTTCCTTTTGTCTTAATTTTTCATGGAACTCCATCCCATTAGCTTTTCCCACCTCCACTCTGCTCCCCTCACTTGGGACATCATGTGACTTGGTAAAGGTTATTTTCAAAATACAGCTGCTTCTCAAACCACAGTGTTGCATTAGTCACAAGCACTGTGCCCTTGGACTAAAAGTTAAAATGCATTATACTCAGATTTTGAGTGTGACAGTAAATTCCTTCCATGAAGTTGAATATTTACTAAGTGTCTTGAGTTTAGCAAGGCTTCAAAGAATGTTGGCTAAGAGGCACCCAACAACCAAATTCCAAGTGTGATCCAGAGGTGATCCACAGCTTAGAAGCTAGTTGGCACATCTAACATCCAAGTATTAGTGAAGTCACCTAAAATCAATCATGTGATAATTTCTGACTTAAATATGATTTATTAGAAAATAATTTATTAGAAATTGAATTAGAAATCTTTATTTAAAAATTAATTGGATTTGATTATTCCAAAGAATCTTGTGGTTATGAGAACAAGGGGAGACAGAGACAGACAGGCAGATAGACAGAGAATCCACTACAGGAGAAAAATAATTTTTTAACTCAGTTGATAGATGGTGTTGAAGTGGTTGTCATTAAACAGGCCATTAGTCCATGTTGATATAGGAAAAGCAAAATTGGATCATTTTAATGCTTGCTTTTATATAAGATGCTAAAGATGTTGGTAACATTTAATTTGCATATGGATAAAACAAACTGTTTATATAGTGAGGAGACAGCTGTTAGGCCAAAACACAAAGTTCTTCACTTAAAGGAGAAGTTATGTTTTCTTACTGAATTTTATTGCACACCTCTAGAGTATGTATTCCTCACTTAGAGAAATATCACTAATAAGATCATAAGAAACAGTGTTGGAAGAATCAGCAACATGTCCTTATTAAGGTAGAGTTGGAAGGGCTCAACCAACTCATGGGGGAAGGGGAGGGGTCTGAGGCTCTGATCATAAATTAGGGAGGTCTTTTCCCTGAAGCACCAACAAAGCAATTTATTGGGTGGCTTTCTCTTAGCCCTAATAGGAAATGTAATGATCTTTTTTCCCATTCTTAGGCTTTATCTACCAAGACATGAATTGGATAATACTCATAAATCAAAAACATGGAAAATTTACAGTCCAAAGTTTGCAGTAGAGGTGTATTTTGCTGAGCCAATGCCCAGGGTTTTGTAGTAGCTGTTGAATAAGTACCAGTTCCCTTCTTGATAGAATCATGTTCTTCCCAATCCATGCTATATATTTATGTCTTCTAACCTATGTCTTTGACGGTATGTCTGTATTATATACATATATGTGTATGTATGTACATATGTTTCTGGGAAATATATTAAATGTATACAGGAAAAATGATGTCAATGGTCTTTTTCTTTCGAAGGCATATATAATACAACCTTTCTCTTTTTGATAGAGTGTCTCACTATATAGTCCTTGCTGGCCTGTAATTCACTATGTAGGCTAGATGTGAACTCAGAAATCCACCTGCCTCTGCCTCATGAGTGCTGGGATTAAAGGTATGTATCACCATGCCTGGCTCTCTGTACTGTTTGGAATATACTGCACATAGGAGTATTTAGGTATCATTTTGAAGAACTTTGAAAATAATCTTTCCTGTCAAAAAATTGATCTATATAGAGATTGTGTGTTCCCATAACACACACGTACTTACATGTTTCTGAACAAGTATTTATTCTGTGCTTTACATTTGTAATTTGCCTCTATTTGATTCACAGATGAAGACACAGCAGATTGGCAGCAATGCCAAGGTTCTTTGTTTTGGCATTTGTTTTGTCTGCATACTTGTTATCTCTATGTGCATGTGCGTGAGTGTGCGTGTGCCATTGTGCACATAGAGCCAGCAGAGGACAACTCATTCGAGACTGTTCTCCATTTCATTATATGCGCTCTGGAAATAGAACTCAAGTCCTCAGGCTTGACAGCAAGCACCTTTACCCACTGAGCCATCTCCCCAGCCCAGGAAAACCAAAGCTTTAAATCCAGAGGAGAAAAAAACCTAGCCCCTCACTTATAATTCACACGTTCCCCTTTCTCTGGGCAATGTACAGGCAGATAAATGACAAAGTCTCTTTAATTACACACATAGGAAGGAGAAAAAGATGCCAAGACCTTAGTGACTACTGCTTCTATGTAACATTAAGTGAAGCTGAAGGAAACTGATCTGGATGTGTTAAAGTCCATGGTCCCTGTTCTCAAAACCCATCAAGAAAAACAATTATCCCAAACTTGATAGCAAGTACTTTATTTTTACAAAGTGGATACACTAAGGGACTGAACAGGGATGGCTCATTCAGTGAAGTGCCCGCTGAGCAAGCATGAGGACTTGAGTTCCAATCTTAGCACCTGTGTAAGATGCAGCACACATCTGTAACCCCTGCACTGTGGGACTAATGACAGCAAATCTCAAGGGCTTTCGGGTCTAGTCAAGAAGTGAGCTCCAGGTCCAGAGACCACCACCACCCCCTAACTCAAAAAATGCTGAGGCAGACTTAAATAGCCCCAGGTAGTTGACCAGGTTTTCAGCACCAGGAATGTTATCCCTCTTGGGGAGTGAGCCTGAAGTCCAATTAGAGAGTTGTTGGTTACCACTACAGTATGTGTGCTGCTACTGCACCATTAGGGTTAGCATACCACGCTGCAATCATTCATCTTGAAGAACATACAACTGCTACTTTACTAAGCCAGCATGATCTCTGACTACATTCTAAGCATTTTATCTTTATACATAGGTAAGTGTTGTCCTCATCTCTCAATCAAGGAGACTTCTCTTTGTAATGGACAGAGACTCTTATAGAAAACCATAACTGATCATGGTGTAAGTTGTGGAGCATAGTCTCAACAGCTACATCTGCAACACAACACTCCTGCTTGTAAAGCTCAGAGATCATTGCAGAAGAGGGGGTGGGAAAATTATAAGAGCTACAGCAAGGGGAAGTTTGCTGTGCAATGGAGTCTTCTAGAATGTCACAGAAGCTACACCCAAGAAGCCTCATCAACATGGCTGCTTAAATAGGACCTGAACAAAAAACACTAATAGACATGCTATCATGGAAGTAAGAGAGCTCACCAGGCCTTATTCCTAGACAAAGAGCTACAGGCAACTGAAGAAGAGCACACCAACTGGTTAGCCAATGCCACATAGTCAGTCCTATATGTATAGACATATATTATATATAATATTATATGTATGTCAACAATTAAAGAGAAAGGCCATGATTTTTTTTCTCCATTTTTTAATTTAAATTAGAAACAGGATTGGTTTACATGTCAATCCCAGTTCCCTCTCCCTCCCCCTCCTCTCCTGCCACACCCCCCCCCACTAACACCCTACCTATCTTCCAATACCCTTTTTGCTCCCCAGGGAGGGCAAGGCCTTCCATGGGGGATCTTCATAGTCTGCCATATTCTTTGGGATAGGGCCTAGGCCCTCCCCTGTGTGTGTAGGCTGAGAGAGTATCCCTCTATGTGGAATGGGCTCCCAAAGTTCATTCCTATGCTAGGGATAAGTACTGATCCACTACAAGAGGTCCCATAGATTTCTGAGGCCTCCTCACTGATACCCACGTTCATGGTGTCCAGATCAGTCCTATGCTGGTTTTCCCAGCTATCAGTCTGGGGACCATGAGCTCCCCCTTGTTCAGGTCAGCTGTTTCTGTGGGTTTCACCAGCCTCGTTTGATCCCTTTGCTCATCACTCCTCCCTCTCTGCAACTGGGTTCCAGTTCAGTTCAGTGTTTAGCTGTGGGTGTCTGCTTCTACTTCCATCAGCTGCTGTATGAAGGCTCTAGGATGGCATATAAGTTAGAAAAAAAAAATGGAATCTTGAAATTCATAGGCAAATGGATGGAACTAGAAGAAACCATCCTGAAGTAACCCAGTCACAAAAAGACAAACATGGTATGTACTCACTCATATATGGATTTTAGACATAAAGTAAAGGCTTACCAGCCTACAATCAATACTGCTAGGAAATGAGAACTCTAAGAGAGACATACATGGTCCCCTGGAGAAGGGGAAAGGGGAAAGATCTGAGCAAATTGGGAACATGGGGGAGGGGAGAGGGAGCTAGGAGAAAAAGAAGGGGAGAAGAGAAGGGGTGGGGAGGACATAAAGGAGCAGGAAAGGTTGACTTGGGGGAAAGAATAGAGGAGAGCAGGATGAGAGATACCTTAATAGAGGGAGCCATTATAGGTTTAAAGAGAAATCAGGCACTAGGGAAATGTCCAGAGATCTACAGGATGACACCAACTAACCATCTAAGCCACAGTGGAGAGGCTACCTTAAATGTTCTTCCCTGATAATAAGATTAAAGGCCATGAATTTAAAGAGAGTGCAAGGTGGGGCACATGGCTGGAGGGAGGAAAGGGAAGGCAAAATGGTGCAATTACATTACCTCAAAAAAATTTAAAATTAAAAAAAAAAATGGGTGTAGAGTGAGTAGAGAAAAATGTCAGTATCAACCTCTGGCTGCCAGACACCCATGCATGGGTGAGTACATACACACATACCACACGCATACAGTAAATAAATGGATGAATGGATAGATAGATGCTGTCTTGGTCACTGTTCTTTTGCTGTGATAAGGGAAGGCGACCATAGCAAGTCCTCTAAAAGAAAGCATTTAATTGAAGTCTTGCTTACAGTTTCAGAGGGTCAGTCCATTATCATAGCAGGGAGCATGGCAGCAGGAAGGCAGGCATGACTCTGGAGGTAAGCGCTTTACAACCTGACCCACAGGCAAGAGGGACAGACACTGGGCCTGGAATGGGCTTTGGGAACCTCAAAGACCACCCTCAGTGACAACTTCCTCCCAAAAGGCCACACCCTCCTAATCCTTCTAATCCTATAAAAATTCCACTCCATGGTGACTAAGCATTCAAAAATGTATGATTCCTCTCTCATTCAACCCACCACACATGCAGAGGGAGAGAGAAATCTATCTAGAGTACACAGCCACATTTTTTGTCAACCTGCCTACAGTAAAATTATTTTACATCAGGAAATCTTGCTGACAAAAGAATACTTGTTCCAATACAACCAGCACCTTGAAATTTATTATCCATAACTCTTTAATATTCCTATTGGTCCCTAATATAAATATAATGCATTAAGTGAAACTCATAGACTCACATTAGTTTTATTTAATAATGATAAATTACTCATTTTTAAACAAACTATCTTAAGTTCTGGTTTTGTCTCAAGTACAGTTGTACCCAAACATTAAATCACAAATTAAGCCAACAAACAGGATAATAACAAAAAAAAAAATTCTCCTCAGGCCTCTATTTTTTCACTCCCCCTTGCTTCTATTTCTGTAGCAGAGGCCACAATGGACAGATTGTGAGAAGACACACTGCCAACAGGGATAATAGATCCCAGGCACCAAAAAGGGAGGCCATGGCTTTGGTCAGTCCTCTTCCTGCAGGAAACCAATCCTACTTTCTACATCCCAGGCCTGTTCAGATGAAGCACCACTCAGTAGCCACTGGCCATACAATAATAGAGGGAACGAAAGTACAAACATGGATTTCTCATAAAAAGTCAGCCAAGGGGTGCTAGAGGCATCCTTCCTTTTGGGGGGACACTTTGCTTCCTCAACCTTGTGCTCCTGGCACTATGGCAAGGGAGCATTAATAAGGTCAGCCTATTTCTTCAGCTTTATAGGCAGAGTAGGAACAAATGCTACTGTCAGCCCCTCTGGTCTTGGAAGTACTGCAGACAATGAGATTTTGGTTGCTAAATACATATTACCTAGTTCAACAAAAAATGTTATGTCACAATGCCTTCCAAATTTACACATCTATAGTCATTAAAAATCCACAGACTGCCAGCTCCAAATGTAGAAGCAAATCAAGGAGTTACAGACCACAAGTGAACTTCAAGAGGATGAACCCGGATACGGTTATGCTGTGGGGCCTCATGGGCTCCTTCCGACGTACTCATGAAAAGGACCCCATGATGAAAGCAGGGAGCCCAGACTTCTCTGCTTCCTGAAAGGGCCTCTGGTTGGTGAAGACAGAGACACAGTAGGTGCAGAGTGGCTTCATATCCAGGACCAAAAGAGTACCCTGGATTCCTACTGAGACCAGATTAACAGCCACTGGCAGTTTTCATAAGAGCTTGGCGGGGCAGTCCCTTGTCTATCATGAGTCTAGCACAGGCAGGAAGCTCTTTGACTGAGAAGGGAAGCTGGTGAGTACTCTGTCACCCTCCAGAGGACTAGCCCTCCAGGCCACTCTTACCAATACCAGAGTGCAAAATAATAAGTCCACCTGGGAAATGATTGGCACTCTTATGAGCATCAGGAAAAGAAAAAAATTCTGGGATATCCACCCTGAAATTTCACCAAGAATGGAGAAGCCACATAAGTATGCATACAAGTTTATCTAAAAATATAGATGGATGTTTTAGCTTTAATGTACCACAAAAAGTTAAAACTTTAACCTCTTTGTTTTAACCTCAGCAGCCTTTGGCCCTACATCTAGGATGGATTTAAGCAATCATTTACAACCGTCTGTGTAAAAATTGGTCACCACTTACAACTAGACACGAAACAAAATTGTGTATTCCTCAACCTAGAACCATCTTAAAATTGCATGTGTACCTCTGACTTCTGCAGAAGTCCTGAGAGGAACACAGTGCATAAGGCCACCAGCTGGCTGCCCTGTACATTCCAAGGGCAAGAGCAGCCGACTTTTTTCTTTTGGTACAATAATGGGCAGAAATTATACCGTAAAGAATACAGGGGCTTCCACAAAGTCTTAAGACTCTGAATAGAGGGGAAGACAGTGACAAAAGTCCCAATTAATCAAATAATCCCACATTGTTCTTGTACTCTGTGAAACCCTGAGTTAATAACAGTCAATAAATGCCTGCCTTCAATCCAGGCCCACCAAGACACTTCAGTATGCTTCCAATTGGTTCATCATCAACTTCCTGCTATATTCATAGGCCAAAAACAGTGCCCCATTGGCAGGGAAAGCTCGAATCATAGTAGGTTTCAGTCCAGAATACAAGGCTGTTATTCCTGCAAGACAAAAGGGCAGTCAAAGATTGTGACAGCAGTTACTTGAGGACACACATGCCAACTGCACAGAAGAGATATCTGGGCCCACAAACTCAGACACAGTACTAAAGCTCTTGTGATAAAGGGACTTGCTTTCAGGTTCCCCTCAACAGACTTCAGAAACAAGGTAAGTAGCAAGTCCTCCGGCAAAGCTGATTGATGTTCATATACCAAGATAACTGCTATGTCTGGAGGACTCCTGCAGTATGGACAGGGCAGAGCAAAGGCCTAACATGGCCAGGTGGAGCAATGGAAGAGCCTGAGGGGCCAGCAAGAGATGTGTTCACCCTGCTCAGCCTGGTCATAGGGGAGACCTTAATGAGAGACTTAACTAGGTGTGCCAGGCCAGACTGGAGAAGGCATGCCGGAGTAGTGACACACAAGATACCTGCACTCTATGTGAGTTGTGAGTGAAACATGTCTCTGTGTCACTGTGCTCTCTTTAAACCCAAAGCATGAGTTCACAGTCCAAGGTACTTTTGTTTTGTTTTGTAGATATTGGCGTTTGACCGCATCTATTTTGCTTTTTTTAAGTTTTTATATTTTTAAGATTTCAATATATTTATAAAGCATTTACCTCTTCCCTTTCTTCCATTCAAACCTTCAAATAACCCTAGCTTTAAGATGTCCATATGGTGGATGCCAGAAAGACAGATCTTTGGGGTTGCATGATGTTCATGTCATACAAACATGACTTAAAGTCTGTAGCGGCATAACTCTAAACCCAATTGCCAAACATCTTTAGATATTGCTTAGGTTATTTCTCATTCCAGAAGTCTTATTACATTCTTTTAAATGTAATATATTCAATATATTCTTTTAAAGCTTTAGTGGTCCTGTTAGGAGTGTTTTAATATTTGGATTATGTAAATGAGGTGATGTCACTCACTTCAGAGCATTCTCCCCTCTACACAAAGTTTGTATCTTAAAAATCCCAAGGTATTTAGGATACAAAGAAATCTGCCAGACACCTGGTCCAGAAGTTAGGAAAAAGAACTTGAAACATTTTTGAGAACAATGAAAATAAGCTAAAGCAAAAGGTTTGGAAATAGAAAGCTGGTGGTAGGAAAAGGACATGAGTCAGGGAGAGAAAAAGAGCAGTCACAGTTCTAATTAACCCTGGATCACCACATTTCAAAGAAAATCACTGTGACACACGCCAGTGTCTGCACACAGCAGCCTCACTCACCTTCGTTCTTCACAATACTCAGGAAGGTTCTGACTAGCCCTGTCTGCTTTCCAGTCATAGAAAGAACTTGAATTCTAGATTTGATACAATCCACCGGATAGACAGCAAGCCACAGGCAAATTCCACCAAATCCGCCACTTAGCATCAATGGGACAGGACCTAGGGAGGGAAAGCAGCCAGTGGTTCTTTGTTTTAGGTGGCATTTCCAGAAGCACACTGAACAGTTAACGCCTTGAAAAATGGTAAAGGTTCTGGCTAAGAAGATGGAATATCCCTGGGCTTCATCAAAACTAGCTGGTCACTTAGGTATTGTGTCCCCACCCAACCTCGTCCTCCAGCTGGGGTTGGCCAGCCCACAGTCGACACCCATTGAAATACAGTCTCTGTCTTTCTCAACTTTAACCTCCAACGGCCCAAATCTTCCTCTACTATGGCAAAAAAGGAAAAAACAAAAATCTAAATTTTTAAAATGTACTACATTAAACAGGTGCAACTGAGATTGTTTCCATTTATGACACTGATAAGCACTGGCCAATGTCCTCATTCCCTGCCCGCCTTACCCTTAAATAGAGCTAGGGTTTTCAAGGTAGAGACATAACTCTGGGTGGAAACTTGATATTTAGGTGTACAACTTAACACAAATGTATTTTGGGCTGCCCAACCAGTACATTAAACACAACACTAAATGAGATCCATCTCATCAATGGTATATGCCACATTGTTGTTGCTGTTTGCTTTGTTTTTGTCTTGGAATGTCCTTAACATCTAATATAGTGGTTCTCAAGCAAGGCTGACTTTGTCTCCCCAGGGAATACCAACAAGTTCTGAAGCTTTGTTATTTTGCTTTTATGTCTCCTTGGAGAGAGGCTGCTATCTTGCAGCACAGGGCACCCTATCACAACAGCTTGAAAAATTCTGTAATTAAATGCCTAAATATAAGATCTATCAGTACTTATTTAGGATAATGAGTAAAAAAATGTTTGGGGAACACACTTATTTGTGATTTGATGTCAGAGACAGGGCTTGGCAGACAATCTTATTTTGTAATTGATTTTAATTAGCCAATTAAAAAAGAAAAAAGTTTTTAAAGCTTATTGTGAAATTGATAGTTGATTTCTTCATCAGTAAAATAACATCTCTGTTCCTTCCAAATGGACCCAGAACAGTTAGTAACCACCCAGGAGGGAAGGGATGGCTCTAACAATGCTAATGCTCCGACTTTAGAACTTGACTTCAGGAAATTTCCCTTGGTGCTGGTCAATGCCTGCTGCCATTTGACTTTCTGGCATCTGGAAACTCCCCAGTACTGGGTGGACCCCCAGGAAGGTGCACACTGAACACATAACCTATGGGGACCAGGAAACCCATGAGGCCGATTCTACTAAGCCCAAATGGTGTCAATGAAAATACATTTACCTAGTTCATCTTTCGATTTCCCTGACGCGAAAAATGATCTGCTCAGTTCATAGCCACCGAAGAAGAAGAAGTAGCCTGGGACTTCTCGAAGTAAAGTGCTTGAGAGTCCATGGTAGAAGCCCAAGGGGCCGTCCTTCCTAAAGATTTCTTTCACAACTGACCAAACTGTACTGGGGGACACAAAGTAGGAGGCAGAGTCAGTGCTGGTAGGGAGGATGTGTGCAATGCAATCATGTTTGTCCCAAGGATGACTTCTGAAAGCAGCTTTGCTATAACTGTGTGTTTCCTGTGACCTGCCCTTCCCTTTGAAGCACACCGGTTATTTCTAGACTTCCTGGTAACTGTGTTCACCAAGCCAGCTGCTTCCTTACTTGTACCTAAGTAAGCCTGCTAACTACTGGGTATATATTTCTGTAAAGTACATTGTCTGGGATGTAAAAGGGCTATTTCCTGGTTTTTCAACAATAAATATGTAAAAATGAATTACAATAAGGAGCCATCCAAGCCTGGAAATAGATAAAAAATACTATACTTGCTCAGTGCCTTGTCCCGTGGAGCCCCAGCTCAAGCTTGTTGGTGTATTAGTTACTCGTAATAAAATACCTGGCAAGGTACAAACTGAAGGGAGAAAGGGCTTGTTTTTGGCTCACAGTTCAGAGGTACAGTTCATGGTGAGGACAAAGCAGGAAAGACAATGCATCAACTCCTGGAATGTCAAAGGCCATAAGCAACCATCTTCCTTCTGAGAGCTTTGTCCCTGCAGCACTGTTCCCATTGCACAGGTGAACATAATAAATGACTCCATACTAAGCTGTGATAAGCCTGCATCCAAGTCTGTGTATGGTGGTGTTAAGGTTCTGTGTCTTCCTCTGGGCACTGGTTACAAAGGCTCATTCATTTAGTGACTGTTTATAGAACTGCCCACTTACGATCTGAATGTATTCACAGTACTGTTGGTAGGTTCCAGTTCAGAAATAACCCTTTCAAGCAACGGTTCTCAATCTTAATGCTGCAACCCTTTAATAAAGTTCATGTTGTGGTGACCCCCAAATTATCTCATTGCTACCTCATAACTGTAATTTTGTCAGTTATGAATCATAATGTAAATATCTGATATGCAGAATATCTGATATGCGACCCTTGTAAAAAGGTCATTCAATACCAGGGGTCGTGACCCTCAGGTTGAGAACCACTGCTTTAAAGCATTATACTGGTTGACTCCTAGGCCATGAATAGCAGGGAGGAAACTATCGACTGGTCAATTTGTTGACTGGTTCCCCAGAAGATTTACAGACCTTGGGTGATGGCAACACCCTTGACCAGATCTTCAACCAGACACACATTGAGATAAATAGATACATTTTGTGATTAATAAGGATGATACAGTTCTTCAATTCTAGACACATGCATGACACACATATCCTCACAGCAGTGGACAGCCACTTTCATTCCTAAGCTGATCAGTGATTGGACCACAGAAAACAGCTCTACTTACAAAGGTCTTGATGAGTGTTTTCAGAACTTGGACCCTTACCAAGGACATGTTTGGGAAGGTGGGAGATACCACTAAATTGTGGCAGTATGCCAGAAAGGGCATGAAGCACTCACCTCGGACTCTAAATCCACACGTAGCGCAGCTCTGAGACCCATTTCAAAGCCATCTCCCAAATATGGCTGGGGCCCATGCCTTATGCTCTCGGGAGGACAAAGGGGACATTCGGTTTCTTGGTGTCTCCATTTCTGCACTAATAATCAACTGCCTAAAACACCGTCTAGAATAGGTAGTGAGTCCAAACATAATAAACTACTCTTTTCAGAAAATTATCCCCTGACATGGTATTTTAAAATAGGGAAAACTATTTCCACAGTTGGCCCTTAATTTTAACGATATAAAACGAAAGCAGTATACTGAGAGGAAATAGCTAACACCTGTGCATGAACAGTGAGCGCTTACTTCTGGCTCGCAGCTATCTTTCCTGAGGATTCCATTTCATACATGGTCTGGAGCCGGCACTTCACAAGCTCTGTGGGGCAGAGGACCAGGGCAGCAAAGGCAGAGGCAAAGGAACCAGCAGCTGCATTCTGGAGGTCACTGAAAGGACAGAAGATTTACCATCAGCTCATTGTTCCCTTCAGCATGCACCACGGTAGAAAGAGCACTGGATGAGAAGGAAATCTACATGTGCTGTCCCATCTAAGAATCCGAAGACCCTGTAACAGACAGCAGTACTCCAGCTTCTGTGAGGAATGGCACTTACAGGCGATACATGTCCCCAAAGCCATACATCCAGAAAACGGCATGCTAGGACTCCAGCCCAGGTCTACCTGATTGCTACATCCATGCATATGTCCCCATCCCCTCAATTCATGTGTTGAGAACCTAACAGCTACCAATGTGTGTAATAGTGTTTACAGCACTTAAGAGGCAATCAGGAATAGATTCGTTCCTGAGGGTGAGACCTTCATTATGTGATCTATGGCCTATAGCTTTGCTCCCTCTGCCAGGTGAGGACATAGTGACAAATCCTGTCTGAACCAGGGAGGGAGCCTGTTGGCATCTTCATTTTTGACTTTAGAGCCTCCAGAAGAAATGTTTGTTTAAACTTCCTAATGATATCTTATTGGTAGCCCAAGCTAAGAAACATTAAAAAAAAAATGAAAGAAAAAAAGGAGGGACCATAGGAGAAAGGGGGAAATCATCTATTGTCATACCTCCCCAAATATAATCTATTAATACCTTACTATATTTGTGACAATATTGCTTCTGGCCTGGAAACCAGCCTGGAATAACCAGACATGTAATGTAATAACTACAGATATAAACCAGTCTAGATTTTCATGACCACAAAAAGGTTTCCCAAGTCAGCTATGACATCTGATAAGATTTGATATGGTTTGCCAATGTTACCCAACAGTTTGTATGGTAGAAGCTTAGTCCCTTGGGTTTTGTTGAGGTGATGGGACATTTAAGATGTGGTGCCTGCCCATGGAAACCTCCAAACATCACAGGTCATTGCAAACATTACTGGTTGATCTCCACAACCTGAGGGGAAAGCCCCACTGCTGAAGACAACATGTACATACATCAAGCTCAGAGAAGTCAAGCCAGTGCCTAATTTGAGGCTCCACCTCTACCGACTGGCATTCATAGTACTGGAAGGAACTCTGCATGCTACTAGGAGAAACTCAGTCATCAATGTCTCCCAGCTAAAAACCCTGCGACCTACAACAGTGACCTGCCTGCAAGATATACTGGTGCATTAGTGGCACAAATGCTATGGAAATAACCAACCACTTTCCTTCTGATTGGACTTAAGGCCTATTCCATTAGTTGGAACCCATACCTAACAGTTAACGTGGTCAAAACCTGACTAGATAGGTCATTGGCTTAGGGGAAAACCTAAAACTATAATTCTATTAGAGAACTAGTAGTGAAATGATTCCCAATCGCATATTCATTAGGAATAGTCACTGATCAACGCCTCACTCAGCCCTCATCAGAGAAGCTTCCCATCTAGATAGGAACTAACATAAAAGACCCACAAATGGACAATGTGCAGAGACGGAGAGACTTCGGAGTACTCGGTCTTTAATGGGATTGTCTTCATCAAACCCCTCCCCCTCTGGGCTCAGGATCTATGTGGAAGAGGAGGTGGGAAGACTCTGAGAGCCAGAGATGGATGACTCCAAGGAAATAGTGTCTTCCAGACACAACAGGACTGATGCACATATAAACTCAGAGACTAGGGCAGCATGCGTAAGACTTGCACAGGTTCAAGCTAGATGGGGTCCTGGGACTAAGAAAGGAGATGTGGCCACAGGATCCTACCCCTAACCAGCTACCTAAAACTGGTACCTGGCAGCAAAGGAAAAATTGGTTTGCTCCAGGGGAGGCTCACTGGGCATATTCACCACACTTCCCTGAGGTAGTTGGGCAACACAAAGTGAACTCGGTGGCATTTTTGTAGACATTTTTGTTTCAGCTTGCTTTGTGCATTTTTTTTTGCTTCATTGGCCTTTTGCTTGTTTATTTGTCCTCCATTTGTGTGTGTGTGTGTGGGGGGGTTGTATGTGTTTGTTTTATTGTTTTTATTTTGTTTGCTTTAGAGGGACAGGAAAAGAAAATGAATATAAAATCTGGTGGGTAAAGAGGTAGGGAAGATCTGGGAAGAACTGGGAGGGGGAAAACATGATCAAAATACACTGTATAAAAAGATGTTTCAATTATATATATAAAAAAAGGTGGGTCCTAGAGTGCCGACACCCTCAGAAGGGACAAATACAGAGGGGACTGCAGTTAGCTTCCACAAGGCAGAGCTTCCTGTAGTGTCTGGTGACCTCTCCTCATGATTCCATCTGCAATGCTGTCATAGAGCCAGAAGACATCCTAGAAGAACCTAGGAGATGCCAGCCCAATGCTCTTGTACCTCCAGACTACCGTAAACTAAGTAAGTTTCTTTTCTTGCTTCTAACTTTGGCCTTCATTTTCCATAGTCTTGACTCTGTGCATCAGACAGCAGCTGCTGTCCACAGACTGAGCTGGCCTTGCAAGCATCCAGGACTCAGGAGAGTGGACTTAGCATGGGGCTGTCCGAAGCAGGACTGTTTGCTGGGTAGACCCTTTTAACCTTAGAGAATTAAGCCTACCACCACAAACTAAGATAAGACAAGCAGGCATACGGACATCCTTGTGTTTAGTTCACCTCTTCACATCACTCCTGAGCTTATTTGTTAAAAGCCAAAGTTTCAAATGGTATTTTGGCCAGCCTACACACCATATTTAGCCTTCTTCAGGGACTCTCAACCTGCTGACAGGCAACTGTCAATGAGGGTCATTACCTAGAACATACTAAAGTTTGCTAGAACAAAGGTTTCAGATGCCGATAAACATAGAAGTCAATTCAACATCAGGTGTTGGGATGGTTCCAGAATCTGAATGAACATAAAACATCTTAAGAGTACAAGGGAGAGGCCAAGTCAGCATTTCCATGGACTTTGGCTTCCTCATAAGCACTTTCCAGTGTACAAAATAAGGCACATGAACCTTCAGCTCTACATGTTGGATAAATATGTATAACTGGAGTTGAAAGTGAAGAAAGTGTAGGATGGGGCTTTGTAAGAATCCACTGTCGACTCTGTCTCATTTTGCTCTGTTTACATATTTTTGCCATATTGGTCTGCTTGTTCATTTTATGTTTTGTGTGGTGTGTGTACTTCTTGTTTTGCTTGTTTGTTTTAAAGAGATAAAAATATAAAGTTGGTAGCATGGTGCTGGAGAATCTGGGAGGATGGAAGAGGGGAAAATATGATCAAAATATATTGTATAAAATTTTTTCAAGGAAAAAAAAAAGATCTACTGTTTGACCTAAAAGCATCTGCTGTATAAGACCTCATTCAGCCAAAGGTCAAAGTAGAATACCACATCAGGTTCAAACCAGGACACACAAATATTTGTGATGTGGCCACAGAGATCCACAGTGAATGCTTGTTTTACCTGTTTCCCTTTGCCACTCTTGATGAATGTTCTCTAGATCTAACCAATAGTATTCCTTGTTGGTCTAACATAAAGAGGACCTAGTGGAAGGGGACAGTGGGCTCAGGGGACACTGTCCTTGGTCCAGCAACTATGACTATCTTTCCATCTGAAAGCGAAATGGCAGCACCTCCACATGGTCATGGTAAGGGCCATAAAGACACAGCCTACATGTCAGAGTACAGCAGGCTGTAGGCAGTGTCAGAGGAGTACAGCAGGCTGTAGGCAGTGTCAGAGGAGTACAGCAGGCTGTAGACAGTGTCAGAGGAGTACAGCAGGCTGTAGACAGTGTCAGAGGAGTACAGCAGGCTGTAGACAGTGTCAGAGGAGTACAGCAGGCTGTAGACAGTGTCAGAGGAGTACAGCACACCATAGGCAGTGTTCCCCCCAGCAGGTAAGAAGCAAAACTCTCCGAAGAGTGAAAAGGGGAGAGACTCTAAGCTCGGAAAGGATTCTAGCGCTGTGTTAGAGCAAGTTAACTAGGCTTGTTTCCATACTGAAGAACTGTGTGGTAAGAAGCGACACACTATGGGTACCACATAAAATAAATTTCCTCAAAGCTCCACACAAGAAACACAGTGAGGCCTTTTCCAACCCATTCTGAGTAGCACCAATTCTTGCTTCTGGGGAGGGTGGGGAGATACACGCCTGTAAGCATCCTAGTATCCATCAGAAAAGACCAAGTGTTAGCCCAGCACTTGTGTTGACGCAGAAACATCTTCCCATATGGACCAAAGCACACAGCGGGAGATTGGTTTGACCTTCTCTGGTTCACACCATGATAGTATAGAAACATCAGGATTGAATGTCATTAAAATCAAGTTTTCACTTATTTCAAAAAAAAAAAAACAGTGTCTGCCAGTGTCCAGACTCACCTCAGTTTTGCCTGCCTGTCCAATCCAACCATTTTACGGACCACCTGCTGGCAGAAGCCATAACACATGAAGAGCACCGAGTTCTCTGCAATATTGGCAATCAGTGCAGGGCTGGTGCCCTTGTAGAAGCCGCGGAAGCCCACCTGGGAGTAGGTCTTCAGGCAGCAGTCAGTGAGGCCCCGGTAGAGGTCTGGGAATGTCTGCATCTTCACCTTCATTGTGTCGAAGGGCTGCCCAGTCAGTACACATGCTGTGCCCCCTAGAGGTAGGAGATGAGGCTTTAGAATGGGTCTACAGCCTCTGACAGGGACAGTAACTTCAGTCCATGGTTTACCAGTATTTTAGTTTCTAATGACTGACTTTAGAATGCCTTTCCCCCCAAATCCTCTAGCCAAGTTCAAAACAACTTCTGGCAGGTGCCTATGCTGGCCAGCACACCAGAGGTCCATCCTAAAGGGATTCATGCTTGCAGGGGAGAGGTTGGGTTTCTATAGTCCAAGCCATGAGTACAAGATATGTTTGGGGGGCTCAGCCACGTAATTAATGGGTAGAGATGGGCTAGAACCTGGTCTTAACTGTGCCACCCAGATAGTGAATACACCTGAATCTTTTCTTTATCTACACCAACTCACAGTGTTAATTTGGCACAAACCTGGCACACAAATGGTTACTAAACATCGGCCACTACAGACATGACAGAAGCCATGCAGAAGGACAGTGGATACAGTGGTAGAGACAGCATTTTTTTCCTGTCTAAGGCCCAACTGTATGATGACTATTAGAAAAACCCGGCAAGAGCCAAGTGCCAGATAAGGAAAACAAGAAGCCTGCTAATTAATCTCTTGAGAGTAAAGCATATGACCCTGGAAAAAGCACTTGAATTTTAACTCTATCAGTTAATGATTTGTACTTAGTTAGGGAGTCGACTACAATTGCCTTTGCTTAGTATAAATGGACTGGAATCTGCCTTGCACTTGTTTTCATACTATGAGAATATCAAATGTACTAAGTCTAGATTGCATTAGATTACTTCAGAAAGAATTCTGAACATAGGGATAAGAACACACTGTGATTGCCCCACAGTATTTGTAGACCCTGGACTAGGACCAAAGTTTTAGGACATGCCACTGGTTAATATTTACCTCTTTCATGAAGCCTAGAAAGGCCCCATATTTCAAGCATCCCTGGCTTAGGTCAAGAAACATAGCAACTATGTGATAAGGCCGCCAAACCACCACCAAAATGGAAGGCTTACACAAAATAAGAAATGCAGTTTTACAATTCAGATATTATGCATCATTATTGCACCTGTGCTGTGGGAAGTAGAAGGCAATGAGGACGAATCATTTATTTACTGATAGACAAGGTGTTACTTCCAAGAAACCTGAGAATGACTTGGCCTATTAATCAGAACGATTTCTGTGATTTTTTTTTTTTTTTTTTGGCTATTGTTTGTTTACTTCTTCCAGGAGAGTTAACAAGAGTTTCACCTGGTTACCCACAATTCTGAATCACTGGAATACTATTTACCAACATGTTCCAACAGAGTGGGTGGTGTGTGTTTGTAATCCCAGTATTCCTTTCTCCTCCCTTAGGTTGACCTCCCCCATCCCTTAGATCGACTTCTTTAGATATTTTATCATAGCAACAAAGAGTCATGGACTTACAAGTTACTAAGGCCATTTATCAGAGAAAGGACAACTTACCACAGGACATACAGGTAAGCCCCAAACCCCCCAGTCCACAGCAGTGCCACTTCCCAGGACTGGGAAGCAGGACATTTGAAGATATCCCTTCAAACTGATTTTTTGGGGGTGCTTGTTATTTTGACACTGAGAAGATAAACTTCAAGGGCTGTAGAATTCCTCCTTCCCAGTCAGTGTGCCAGTTAATGAAGCGTCCATCCTGCAAGAAATTCTAGGGACTACTTTTCCCTGATGTAACGGAGATACTAAGCTAAGTCAAAGCATTCGAAGACTTAGCTCTCATCCTAAGTGCCTGGGACCTTTGCTACAGCAAGCGCAGGTCAGACCAGAGACAAGGTCTCGGCTCTTTGGTAGAAATGAGCTAGCTGGGAACCTTGTCTGGTGAAGGCAGCTTTGCTTAAAACCAAAAGGAAACAAAGAATATATTTACATTTACATTCCATCATGACCCTTGACTCTCTACTTACAGAAAAATCACAATGAGGGGTGGTCATGGAATACTAAGCGTTCTCCATGCAAGTGGAAAAATCTCAAAACCCAGGAATTTGCCAGTCCAGGCAGTTAAGGTAGCAAAGAGTTCAAACCACCTCTGACCTCAGAGAAGGCTGCTGCTCTACTAGGCACCCTAAAACAAAGATGTCAACAAAACAAGAAACCAGGCAGCCAGGCAGTGGTGGCACACACCTTTGATCAAGCATTCAGGAGGTGGAGGCAGATGGATCTCTCTGAGTTGAGGCCAGCCTGGTCTACAGAGTGAGTTCCAGGACAGCCAAAGGCTCAAAGGCTAACCCTGTCTTGAAAAGCAAACAAAAAAACCAAAACAATAATAAAAAAAAAAAACCTATAACCTGTTAAGTGCTACCTCAAATATCTGAATGAACATAGTCAGGGAAAAGGTAAACTTTTTAAAAATCTTTGCAATAATTCCTAGTTTGCTCTTAGACTAATGAAAGAACGTAGAATACCTGCAGTTGGAACTCTCTCAAGAGACTGTACACCCTCTCACTGAAGAGACAAGAGCTGGTCATGCGATGCTCTCCACTAGCCAGAGCCAGCAGATGTTTTTGTCACTTACAGTTAGCATCTCCACAGCATGGCATTTGGACTAAAAGGAGGGAACCGACTTAACCCTATGATTTAGGTCTAAGAGGAAGGAATGCGGTCCAAGGGATTGGCCCATCCTCTCTTCCACAGAGTGGGGGGGAGGTGACCTGAAGATCCATCGCAGTTAATAACACATTGGTATACAACCTTGCTAGCTGTTGGACCTGCTCACCAGACTGGAACACTCCTTGTCTCTAGCCTGGAGAGGTGTCCTTGCCCAGGGTATCCTTATCAGCCTTCTGAACCAACTTTGACCTTTGGTTCAGGGAGGCGGGTGGAAGAGCAGGGGGAGGGGTGAGAGAGAATTATTCTCTGTACAAGGATTTTTTTCCTCCGGCTGAACAAAGGACAGAGTGAGAGGCGGTAGTCCCCTGACCACACTTGATCTGTTGACCCAAGAGGCCATACTGGGTACTAGAACATCGAGCAACATGGTGCTCTGGCCTCCTCATTTACAAGAATATGGGGGGCTAGGGATAGATCAAAGGTTCTCCGGGGAAACACGTGCCTTCCAGTGGGCCTTTGCCCCTAAGGTAACATGGGCACCCGGTTCTTTGTGCCCCAGGCTAAGTTGTTCCCAGTGCCTGCATGTTAAAGGTGGTCTTTTTTTTACTGTGGCCTCAGGTTACTAGCCCTGGCTCCAGTCTGTCCTTAGGCTCAGGATCTGAGGGTAGGCCTTAACTGGCCAGTCTCAAAAGATTCTGCCTTATACACCAGGAGACACTGAGGAACAACAGTCTCATTGCTAAAGGAAGCCTTCCTTTCTTTCCCATTACCAATAAGGACAGTAACGGGAGTGGAGAAATGGCTCACAGGTAAGAGTGCTTCCTACACTTCTAGAGGGACCTACTTTGGTTCCCAGCACCCACATGGGTGGCTCACAACTGCCTATGACTCCTGCACCAGGGGATGGGATCCATACTCTCTTCAAGTCACCATGGGCAACTGCTCACATGTGGCAGATAATCACAAAAAAGAACAGTAACTGGCATTTTGTACAACAAAAGACCTGAACATTGCCCAACGTGGGGTGACCCACTTCCACTTGCCTACGCTAGCACATGACAGTAGCCAAGTGGGTGAGTTCATTTGGGAACGGAGATTTTCTAGCAATACCAGGGACATCGTCATCCTTCATTGATTGGTAAAGCTTTAATATAACTAAACACTACTATATGGTTCTTACTGCTATGCTCTGAACAATAGCACATTTCCATTAAATTGACTCATTCTGAGGGTAGAGTATATTACCTATGTGGTAACAATTTCCAGTCCACTTTGAGGAACTACTTCAGGAACACATGGAGGACTCAGGGATACAGGGAAAAGGGTTTAGGAACACAGGGGAGGTGGGGGAGGTTTTAGGAACACTGGGAGGGAGGTTTTAGGAACACAGGGAGGGTGGGGGAGGTTTTAGGAACATGGGGAAAGGTTTTTTTTTTTTTTTTTTTTTTTGAGGATTACCTGCTGCCCCGGCTGTGAGGTCAATAGCAGCTTGGATGGCAGGATTGGACTTCATGGTGCCCCTGGGTTCTGTGGAAGGCAATTCTCTAGAGTGTAGGATGTGTACTACATATCCCTGGGAAGAATGAAAGGGTCCATTAGCCTCTGCAGTCCCCCATTCTCTAAGCCTGCTAAGTCCCTGCACCTTAAATACTGGGAGTGGGAAGATGGGCTCCCAAGGAGGCTGAAAGTATCAAGGCAGCCAAGTGAGCCACTGCGGCTTCCCAGGCAGGGTGTCACTACTACAGCCCCTACTTTAGGACAACAAACAGCAGACAAGGAGCCAATCACAAGTGACCCAGACCACATCAGACTAGTGTTTCAGAGGCCAATGATGAAAGTCCAGTACACAAAACTCAGACATAGATTCAGACAGTAGCCTGTGCCACTGGAGCGCCACAGCCTAGGGGGGGGCTCCATTAAGTCACGTGACTCCGAAACCAGTGATCTTTATCTAGACAAGGTGGATTATAGGGTTACCGGTAGTCACAAATGCCACAAGGCCAGCATAGAGCCCTGACCCTGTACTCATTACTACTCCATCACGTTTTAACAGTGAATATGTAGATTTACGTAAGGTCTTGCTACAATTCAGATTCTGATTGAACAGGCCTCAAGTAGGACCAGAGATGCTCACAGCCCAAGCTCCCGGGCAAGGCTGATAATGTGGGCCAGCCACAGTGATGCCACATCTGGACTACTGGGTTCCATTTTAGTTGATCGGAACCCCAGGGGTAAGTCTCAGTCAAGTCGCCAAAAAAACCCAACTTGCTGAGATGTGGACTCAATATTAACTAGAAGAAAAAAAAATGGAGAATTCCTTAACATACAAGATCAAGTTACCCATCAAGCTATTCTGTATGCTCTCAAAATACAGAATTGATCTACATTTAACAGGGCAGTTTCACCCCTCACATTGAGGAGGTTGGTGGTTGGTGCACTAGGCCAAGGTTCCTTCAAATGCCAAAGCCATTCTCAAAGTCGAGAAAATAGTGGCAGTGGGCAAGCAAGAATTTGAAAAAAAAACACCTTATCAATGACCACATTCCAAGAACCTTTTCTTAGAGAAGAAAAAATTTTTTTAAATTAGCAATGTGGTAGTTACAAAAACACCCAAGCCTGTATTTCTATATGGAAAGTAAAATACTATCTACAGGGGCAACATTCAAACTGGCCTCAGATAAACTTCACCGCTTCCATTTCTTTTCATGTGAATAACTCTTTACTAACTGGGAAGGCATAGAAAAGTGTATCTAAGAATGCAGTCACTGTGAATTCAACCCCTTTACAAAAGCCAAATGTAAACACTGCAAATCCTAGAGATAACACAGAGGGCCAAAGCAACAGGAAGGTTGCTGAGAATGTCTCTTAGAAATGTCAAAAAGGCTATACCCATGAAGTCTCATCAACTCGGAAGCCTAAGAAAACCTACAGGAGGATGATACCAATAGACACACTAACATGGATGGAGGAAATCTCAGGGGTGTCTCAAACCTGGACAAAGAACTATAGGCAACTAAGAAATGATGCAGGGAGGATAGCCTTCCCAAGGGAAGAGTCCCCCAGTTCAGCAGCATTATATGGACTTAGAAAGTTGTATTTATATATTTAAGACTGTAATACACACAGAGAGGGGGGAAGGAAGGGAGAGAGGGACAGAGAGGAACAGAGAGGGACAGGAGAGGGACAGGAGAGGGACAGGAGAGGGACAGGAGAGGGACAAGAGAGGGACAAGAGAGGGACAAGAGAGGGACAGAGAGGGACAGAGAGGGACAGAGAGGGACAGGAGAGGGACAGAGAGGGACAGAGAGGGACAGAGAGGGACAGAGAGGGACAGAGAGGGACAGAGAGAGGGAGAGGTGACAAAGAAAAAAAGGACATGAATTTGAGGGGGAGTTACATGGAATGGGTTAGAAGTCGAAAAGAGGAGGTAGGAAATGTTAATTATAATTTCAAAAACATTATTATATATAAAAATGTTTTTCCAGTGCTGGAGATGAAACCTGACTTCCTGCATACTGGTTAAGCACTCTTACCACTTAGCCTCCTTCTCAGGGATACCTGTCATATTATAAAAGACCGAAGTGGTACTAACAGATGAGCCCAGAAAGTAGGCAGAACGAACTGAGTATGAACTGTGGCTTGGAGAGATTTCAGGACTTGCTCAAACCAGACTGGTCCGCACGGATTTAAACTGATTTAGGAGCTTGCTGAACCATTTGCAATAGAAAACCCGAATCCTCTCGCGTCCTACTACTCTCTTCCTTCAAACTACCCTGTAGTCGCAGAAACAACGCTAGCACTACGACTGGTCTGGTCGCTAGAGGAAAATGTCTTCGGTGGTCGAACCAGATGAGGCTGCATTTCGCAAGGGAAGACATGTCCCGAGCTGCAGCTGGATGGCAGGAGGCCGTGTGCCACCACCATCTAAACCCTTCGGCCAAGCGCAGGGCACCGGCCACGGCGGTGTCAACTACTGCTGCAGCTGTGGAGCG